TATCCTCCTCATCCCGATGGAAACCTCGTACGTTGGGGTCTTTGAGAGACTCTCGTAATATGGAAGCGAGATTGGCGTCTGTCGAAGCCATCTTGCTTGCCGGGTTATGTTGGTTTACGTTGAGAGCATTCAACAGTTTTCATGAGTCTCACAAGAGGAGGACTTGAAGCACAAGAAGGCAAAAGGAACGGTTTATGAACTGTGTCAAGGCTGTTCAACGCCTACTAAGTATGGGAGGATTAGTCAACCGAACGCAGGCTTCCGCCTGACCCGCGTCGCCGCGTCGCGAGAGGGAGGAACACACGGGCAGAGTGTCCAAGAGGGGGATCTTAGCGTGGGCAAAAAAAGGGCGAATTCTATTCTGGTGGAACGTCCTGTCGCAGTTGATGACGTGCACCAATTGCAGTTGGGGGAAATCTGGAACTGGCGGAGCGGAGGACGCGGGCGGCGGCTCAGGCACGAGACAAAGACCGAGTGGACATTAGGCTTTGTTTTGAGTACTTTGATTCATCTCGAAGGTCTCTTTCAGGTTCCCCTGCGTCAGGCACTGCATCAAGCAGCATACTAGTTCTTGGTTATAGTCAAGTGATACCATCTTGTCGGACTCAAGTTGCTTCAAGCTGGAGAGCACCTCGAAGAGGTAAGCGAACAGAACAAAAGAGCTTCAACTCGCCCCTCGGTGACTTTTGCAGCTGAGCAATGTGAGGCGGGCCAACTTCAGCCCCGAGCGGCTCAGCCGTCTGAACTTTCCGAGCGACATGTCCGCCGCTAGACACCCACCTGGATTTTCAAACTCCGCATACTTCATCAGCATTGTCTTAGTTGCTGATTTCGATGTTGTTTTCATCCATTTATCTCAATCAACATGAGCAGAAAAAGGGACACTCCCAAACCTTCGTCGCTAGGTTCAGGGGCTCTTCTTAGGCGGTGTCGCAACAGGCCGTTTGTCCCGGTTTACTGGTTAGACTTCCCGCTGACCGCCTCAACCGTGTGGATCTGTACCTGACATGGGCCTGAGAACATGTGGCACCGCATAACGGGCTCTCTGGGCATGACCTGCCAGCGAAACGCTGCATCTGGTGACCTGCCGCAGCCCGATAGCAGGGGATCTACCCGTAGGATCTTTTGATAATCAGGAACCCGCAAGCTTGCCACAGGTGGCCGGACTTGACGCGCAGACTTGTCGATTGATCTGATTCTGCGTTGCTGTAAAACGACCTTCTCTTTCTCACGTCAGCTTGGGAGCCGCTAGCAGGATGAAGCTTTGGTGGCTCATTCCAACAAATTCCGCGCAGCCACAGCAACTTGAGTGGCTGAACACACTTGAGGGCTTAGGTCGGCGCGGGGTCAATAAATGGGGATTGAACTCAACCGAATGAGTCAGCATGACTCTCCCGATCTGCCAGTGCAGTTCAAGGGTCCTTCGGTCAGTACACGCAAAGCCAGCCCAGATCCATGCCCATTTCAACTCTTTTGACTTCGGGACCAGGACATCTCGACGGTGTCTCGGTCTCGTGTCAACATTACATGTGGTATCTAGAAGACGGCCGAAGCCGCGGAGGTCACCGCACCTTACCGGAGACATGTTCCGGTTCAGTTTCCCGGCCGTCTTCCGAACTTGATCCATTTCAGCCGATCGCGGGTGAATCGACTCGTCCTGATTGAGCATTAAGAAACGCTTCTATTGGCGAAAACTTGTGTAGCTGATTCTTAGTCTGCAAATCGTCATTGCTCGTTGCTATCCGCCATCCCCTCACACGGCAGCTCACAAAATGCGGAGGGATTCTGGAGACCCCATCAGTATGCCTTTGCCGTTCCGAGTTCCGACCTCCGTTGGGACCCCACTTCAACTCATCCGCGGGGCATTATCGCCGGGCAATAAATGAACCCCCAGGCCGTGATGAGTTGATGTCAATGAGAAAGCCGAGACGAGAATTATTGGTTGAAGGCGAGAATATCACTCAAAATGGCAGACAAGACAGATATTGAGGCTATTCTCAAGACATTAACTCTTGAAGAAAAGGTAACGTTCCTTGTAACCTCTGTACCGTCATATCACTGACCCCTCACTCTTAGATCCGCCTTCTCGCAGGCCGCAACTTTGTCGAAACTGGCGATGTCCCCGATAAAGGGGTGCCTGCAATCAAGGTATTCATACCCCCAACAGCTCCATATTCCAAAGGCTCAGGACTGACCATATTGTCACAGACAACAGATGGCCCCAACGGCACCCGCGGCGCTGCGATAGACGGCAGCACGAAAGCAGCATGTTTCCCGGCTGCCTGTAGCATAGCGGCGACCTTTGATCGACGCATAGCCCGCTCCGTCGGCGCGGCTCTCGCCCAGGAATCCAAAGCAAAGGGAGCCCGCTGTCTCCTCGCGCCCACAGTATGCATCCATCGCCACCCGCTTGGAGGGCGCAACTTCGAGAGCTACAGCGAGGACCCCTTCCTTGCAGGCAAGCTCGCCTCGGAGATGATTCAGGGGTGCCAAAGTCTGGGCGTCAGCGCGACGATTAAGCATTTCGTCGCCAATGAGCAAGAGACTGCAAGGACAACGGTGGACGAGACAATTAGTGAGCGGGCGTTGAGAGAGATCTACCTCAAGCCGTTTGAGATTGCGGTCAAAGAGGCAAAGCCTTGGGCCATCATGTCTGCTTACAACCTCATCAATGGAAAGCACTGCGATTCGAATGAGTGGTTGCTGAAGGAGGTCCTAAGAGGGGAGTGGGGATGGAAGGGTCTGGTTATGAGCGATTGGGGCGGAACCAACTCCGTGGCGGAAGGAATCAAGGCCGGCATGGATATTGAGATGCCCGGGCCTCCGAGAATACGCAAGCCCGCAGCCGTTCTCAATGCCGTGAAGAGTGGCAAGGTAACTGAGGCTGATATCGACGAGCGCGTACGTACGATACTCGAGTGGACGGAACAGCTCAACGGCTTCAAAGACCCGACCATCACCGTGGAAAAGGCAATCGATCGCCCCGAACACCGTGCCTTGATTCGGGATGCGGGCGCGCGAGGCATTGTCCTCCTCAAGAACGACAACAACATCCTTCCACTCACGAAGGAAAAGGTCAAGGGCAAGAAGATTGCCCTCATCGGCTACGCCAAAGACGGTCTCGCCCACGGCGGCGGCAGCGCAAGCGTGAACGCACACTACAGACTCCCGCCCTGGGACGCCCTCCATGAGGCCCTGGGCTCCGACGTGGAGTTCACCTACGCAAAAGGTGCTCACAAAGAGCGTCTTCTCCCGCCTATCACCCACGACGGAAGGGTCGGCACCATCGTCGGTCTGGACGGGAAACCTGGCTTCAGCCGAGTGTTCTACGACTTTGGCAAGGAGGATGCCGAGCCTGTTTCGGTCCTTAATAGCTATCCAAACTCGGCTTACTCCCCGCTAGGCTCCCAGGAGTCAATGTGGAAGACACTCGACATCGTTGGCGACTTCACGCCTTCCGAGACGGGTTCGCACTACATCGCCTGCTCAGGCATAGGCCCGACTCAGGTGTTTGTAGATGACGAGGTCGTCTTTGAGCAAAAAGGAAATTGCGCAGATCCTATGGGCGCTTTATTCCAAGCCGCCAACGAACCGCAAACAAAACATGCTTTTACAGCAGGCAAAACCTACCGCCTCCGCATCCACAGCAAACCGCCTACCAAGATCGGTCTTGAGATCCTGGAAGGCCGCACAGGTGTGCGAATGGGCTTCGGGCTGGAATCAGACCGAGACGCGGACCTTCAGGGCGAAGCTGCGCGGGTGGCTGCCGAAGCGGACCTTGCTATCGTATTCACCGGACATGATCCGCAGTGGGAGACGGAAGGCCGCGATCAGGAATCGTTCCACCTGCCCTACGACCAGGATGGGCTTATTGATGTCGTCGCGAAGGCTAGCGGCGGCAAGACGATCGTAGTCAACTCTACCGGCGTGGCGGTCGCGATGCCCTGGCTTGGCAAGGTGTCTGCTCTGGCTCAGTCGTGGTTCCCAGGCCAGGAGTGCGGCAATGCCATTGCTGATGTGCTCACCGGTGCCGTAAACCCTGAGGGTAAACTGCCTGTCAGTTTTCCCGCTCGCGTTGAGGATGCTCCCGCACATGGGAACTTCCCTGGGAAGAGAGGTGATGATGGAGTGCTCAGGGTCGAGTATGCCGAGGGCGTATTTGTTGGATACAGGCACTACGACCGTGTGGCAAAGGAGGTACTGAACTTCCCCTTTGGATACGGTCTTTCGTACACAACCTTCGAGTACACAGGCTTTCAAGTGACGAAGAATAACTCTGCTGGAAACAAGTTTGACGTCTCGGTGGAGGTATCCAACACGGGTCCCGTCGCCGGCGGCACTGTAGTCCAGGTGTACGCCGGGAAGACGGGGAGGTCGGCGGACACGCCGGTAAAAGTACTCACTGCGTTTGACAAGGTTCGGCTACAGCCGGGAGAGAAGGCTACGGTCAGGTTGGCGATCTCGGCAAAGGATTTTGCTTCATTTGATGAGTCGACGAGAGAGTGGGTCCTGGAGGCTGGAGAGTACAGCTTCTACCTTGGCGAGTCTGCGGCAGAGACTTTGCAGACTGTATCACTGAATCTGGAGAGAATCACCTACCACAGATAGTGAAGAAGGGGGGTCTAGTGAGTTATTCAATGTAGATGTAAACTTGGAAGTTGTAAATCCAGAACGATCAACATAACGCTGTATTTCAGGGGGTGAATCAAACTGAGCAGACATGACTATAGGCTTCCACATACTAATTGCGGAATGAATTTTTGGGCGTCATCAAATGGAATCTCAGCTTGTTCTCTCCGCCTGACGAATATGCAAGGATCTCATGGTTTGATCCCTCCAACCTTTCCTGTTTCTGAGCATCTTTTTAGCATAAACTCTTGACAGGCACTTCATACTTGACCTGCTATGATCCGCCCAATCCTTGCGACCATTAAAGATCCGTCACCGATACGAGTTATCCACTTCACGTATTGGTTCATGCGGTGCGCCGCAACATCCGCTCAGGCCTGGTGTTCAAGATCGCCATGGCTAAGCTGGCATGCCATGATTCTCTCTTCTTCTTCATCATCCTCTTCCTCGTCCTCGTCCTCGTCCTCGTCCCCGTCCTCGTCCTCGTCCCCGTCCCCGTCCCCGTCCCCGTCCCCGTCCCCGTCCCCGTCCCCGTCCCCGTCCCCGTCCCCGTCCCCGTCCCTGTCCTCATCAACCTCCTGTTCGTTTTCGAATAGAACAACCAGTTGACCGAGGCCATTCAAACGTAGCTTGGGTGGCTTGAAGTCTTGGAAATCGCTCGCCGGCGGGCACTTGCCTCCTCCGACACGATACCAGATACGCGCAAGCTCTGTCGCGTACGCTGCATCCATGCGTGGAACCGGGTCGCCAACATTGACGAAGGCGAGTATATTCCCTCGGAGGAAGTTGCTACCGGTATAGAGTTTGGTGAGGCGGGCGTCAATGTCGGTGTTGAACAACGGAGGACAACCAAAGCTTACGCAAGACAGCTTCGGCTTCTTCGAGGGCAGATCTGTGTCGTGTTGTCAGCCTGATGCTCTGTTCTGACACTTTAAGCGTAACCAAAATACGATCTGTTCATGTTGGAGCCCTTACCAAGAACTTGGCTTGTAAGAAGACAGCAAAACAGAAGGCATGCAACGGGTCCGCCAGCAGAATGACCTGTGAAAACAATTTCTATCTCCTGATCTTCTGTTTGAGCCTCGTTTAGGGCAGCTTTTATCTGATTTACCAGTCCTGGAGCAACAGTTCTGGCACATTGGGCGAACCCGCGATGCACTTTCAGCGTTGGTTTCAAACGTGACTCGGGGAGTTTCTAAATAACCGAAGTTAGTCTCACAACTCGATCCCGGACCATAAACCAGGAGCTGAATCTTTCGGTTGTTTGGTTGAGGTCATGATTAGCTGTACTCACCACCAAGTCAGAACATTCAGCTAGGTCGCTATTCAGGTTGACCAGCCAGTCGACAGAACTTGCACTCTCTCTAACAGCAACGACTAGTGCCTTTCGCTGAGATGACGGATCAGTCGGCAAGATCTCAAAAAGAGCGGCGGCCTTCCCTGAGCCGTCTCTGGTGGGCTCTATCCAGTGTCTGTCTTTAACGGCATAGTCCAGGAGTTGGGGGACAACATGGCCCGGATCCTTCTTGTAGACCGCTTTGGAGCAGAGAGCAGCAATTTGAATGATACGGGCAGCGTCCTCTGTGCTGGTGTGGTGTAGATCGTCGTCAGAACATAGAAACACCAATATTACCTCTCAAGAATTGAGGCGCCGCTTCTGGGTATATGCAAACCTTGTTCACTCTATCGTAGGTAGGTTCACGGATTCTTGGCCCCTAGAGACTATGTCGGGCAAGTTCATTGCACGTTGCGCCCTTACTTTCTTATTCTGCGATTCTCTCACAAGCCCTAGCCAAACTAGACACAATCAGCATCACATTAGCCACTGAAGATGGGCCCTTTGTAAATCTTACCGAAAATATCTGAACCGCTAAAGTCTTCGATCTCATTGAGAATCGTAGCTACTGCTGCCGAAGCACCAGCCAGAGTCGTAGAGTTCATAGACCCAGCCCCGGACGCGGAGGCACCCAGAGAATGGCGTGCCACAGACATGCTCAAGTTGAAAGAGTTACTCGTGGGGTAAAGCAGCAGTCAAGACAAGTTTAGTTACTAAATTGAATCAACAGGAAGACGTTACTCTTCCGTGTCAAGAGGCGAAGACATTGTGGGCTTGCAGTTCCCCTCTTTCTTGCTGTGACAAAGTATAGCAAGGGAAAGTGCATTTTTGACCAAGCTGCCATTACGCGTCAGGCATCGCCAGAGAACGCCTCCAATCATGGCCGCGTTCTACCTCATGAAATATAAACAAATGGCTCGACCAATTGGATTGGTTTTCGGCCTTTGATGTTGGTTCGCCTCTTTAAGGCACCTAGGCAGACCTCAGGTCTGGGCGGATCAACACGACAAGTAGATCCAGAATGCACGCGTGTCAGATATTGCATCATCTCAGCATTTACCCGATACGTATAATTCCGAAGTGGTGTCAACCAGCAATGCCATTGTGCTCTCATACCCGCCCCCTTATTGATTCAAGCTGCCTTCAATAGTACTCCGCCTTCTCCCTTTCCAAACTGAACACATTGGACTTTCTCACTGCGTTTGACGTCTACCTTGCGCACCTTTCATCCCACCGCAATCACCATGTGGAAATTACGGACCTCTTCTGTTCAATTACCCCCGAGTCCAAGGGTTGATTGGGCGAAGCTTGATTCTCATCATCCAAAAACGCTCAATAAAGAACTCAGTGATCTGGATTGGAGCGGTATCGATCGAGACCTGGATGAAATACTGCGGTTCCTCGACATGTGTGAAAATGTTCCCGAACCGCCGACAGCTGATTCACAACCGAAACATGAAGATTGGCTTGGCTTCGAAGCCTTTGCCAAGAGAGCCACTCGCTTGGCAGTGAACGACGCTTTGTGAGTTTCCTTCATCAACATCAACATGGCCGTAGCGCTAGTTGTCAGATTGTTCGCTAACATCGCAATACGCTGATTTTCTCTAGAGTGTACGATGTTTTAGCCAATCTCAATTATGGCAACTCCGAGAATCTTACGAGAAGAGAATACTTGGCTCAGATGCTTCTACGAGCAGCAGGCACGTACTCCACTCAAGGGATCAATAACAATACTGGAGCCGTATCTGGCTAATACTGAGTGTTCGAACGCAGGCATGCTCGACATTGACAATAGTGAGTACTCTCTACGCTGACCTTGGATCTGTTGTGTCCATCTTCCGAAGACGAAATAATCTGATCAAAGCTCAACGTGGTCGAACATCGAGAACCTGAATACAAGCTGGGCACACGGCTTCGGCCACGAGCACCACAATGTAAGCACTGCCTTAGTACTTGGCACTATCATAGGGAAGAATCATTATTGACTAAGCTCTATTTCAATTCTCCATAGTGGTACCCAGATCTGATGAACACAGCCAGGACCCAATTAACTTCTCCGCCCTCCAATGCACTGAGTGCAAGCAAGCCATCCAGGGTATTCATTTTCGGTGCGGTGCCGATTGTCCGTGTGACAAGTCATCATATCGAGAGCAAGCTCCGGTCTTTTGTGAGACTTGCGCTCGACACCCCGATTGCAAGCACGACTCCGAGCAAGTACGCAAGTTCCACAAGAGCTGTGTCTTGTCATCCTGTCTATCCGACGAACAGGCGAGGGAGTTTTGTCAATGTGCCGGTGGCGATGCCGAGTCTGACCAATCAAAAGAACTGTATCCTTTTGACCAGAATGACCGCGCCCGTCATTACCCGCTGTGTCCTTTGATCAGACTCAAGTCACAACATTGTTCCTCAAAGCTGGCTGAAGTCTGCCGTCTTGGCATGTTAGAGGACAGCAAAAAGAGTGGCGTTCGCAGTCATCTAATCACCTCTGTCACCAAGACTGCAGCCAAGATTACAAGGATTCACGAGGATCTCCCGTACGGGAACACCCATATGAGTCTGATGATGGGCCCGCTGCTAATCGAAAATGGAGTTCCTCAGTTTGTACCCTTTTTTCTCTGGCTCCTTTTTTGTGTGGATTGAGAATTCTTTCTTACATTTATTCTTCCAGATCCATGGGTGGCGTGCTGTTCACGGTTCGAGATCGTCTTCAGTTGCATCCCGTAGATACTCCTACAAGCTCAGTGACCAGGTGCTTCGCTCTCAGCAAAGATAGACAGCTGTTCAAGACAGAGAGGCATATACCGAGAAACCGCCGAGTGAAGGCTTTCATGAAACAGATAGTAGGCAGTCCATTCTGGAGTCTGAGAGAAGAGGATCGTGATGCCGAGGCCGAAATTATCAAAGATGTGGCCGAGGCCAGTCTAGATTATATAGGCGTCCTACATGTAGGGAAAGGGTCGAAGCACGAAGGGAAAAAGTCCAAGGCAAGAAAAAAAATTCTCGAGAAGCTCCGTACACTTCTACATGAGCGTGTCGAGCTCTACATTCATTCCATCGTCAACAAACTTTTCGACGAAAGTTTGCCCCTTAGTTGGTTCCACTTTCTTTCCCCTTGTCCCCAAAATCTACTTTTCACGCACCTATGCATGCTGATTATCCAAAACGAATACAGTCTGAAGTTGAACAAAAAATTGACCTTCATCTCAGAGTGGAACATAGGAAGCAACAACTGCCAAAATTTCTGTGATGCCCTGATAGACCGCAACGTATTCGGCAGCTTCATGGTCTATCACCGACACCGCAAGGAGAAGAAACATGACGGTCAGGCATCTCAAGTTCAATACTTGATGAGCTTTGTAAGCCGGATCGGTTGTCACGATGGATTCACTAGGCGGGTAGTTCCCTCTTCAAAAGCGACATCCGCGAACGGTCACACTGAGGAGTTTCTCCTTCGATTCCGCCGATTCGCCCACCACAACGACACGGACATCGTTGACAGCTTGGTAGAGTACTGGACCGATTGGGGAGGCTTTCGAGCGCCGATATTTCGACACCAAGGCCTCTTTCCATGGGACTGTACCGAAGCGCGCACTCTCAAGGAGGAGGCCGATCACCCGCAAAAGAAGTGTGGGGATTGTTCGTCGGCTAAGCATCTTTGGGCCTTTCCGTTTGATGCATGGTCAGTAGCGCAGCTTCACCTTCTCAGGGAACGTCGCTTCTATGCTCCATCTCCAGTCACTGGGAAAGAAAATCAAATTCAGATGGCCGACCATGACTGGGAGGAAAACAGACACCGCGTACTTGAAGCGTTTCAGGTCCTTGGCAGCATGGGAGTTGCGATGCATCGATCACAGGTTTTCCGTGACAGGTGTCGATGGAATTTCAAAGCTCGCGGGCTGCCTTTCGAAAACACCTCTACAGACCGAACCATATTCCACAAGGGTCGCGTGACTACTTTACGACAGCAAATTAAAAAGAGAGCAGGCAGGCTTGTCGTCCAGCCGCATGGCCCTCTCATCATCCACGATCGCATAAAGCTTGCAGGCATCCACCGGGCCCAGCCCATGAGTTACCTCTACGAGCATGACATGTACCACGACTGCACTCTGGCTGACTGGGCTGACCTGAATCACGATGGGCAAGTGGCGGCTTACACGGCGCTACGTGACTTTCGATCAGAGCACGTAGACGAGATCATCGAGGACGCAAAGCGAAGGGCGGAATCTAAAACGCCGCATCCTCATGGTCCATTTCGAGACCCCGGCATCGATATGAACGCCACCTCTAGCATGGGAACCGGGGACTGGCTACCTGAAGACTTGGTTCCGGAACAATGTGACGGATCCTACGCAGAAGTCGACTTTGAAGCGAATGAAGATATAGGTGACTGCGACTGTTTATGCGATGCTACGGGTCTATCGGGTTTTGAACAGTCTATGATAGATGGAGGGTGGGGTTTCAGTGACGGTGGGAGCGGGTTTCCTGTGGACACAGGCTCCGCAGGGCTTGATACCTCCGGAGGTAATGGAGGTAGCGGTGACGGCAGTAACAACAATGGAGATGGCAGTGGTGATGGTAGTCACGGAGGGGACAACTCCCATACAGGGAGTAGCAGTAACGACCAATCGTGGCAGAGTATGATGGGAATGCTTTAGGACGAGAGGCTGTCTGCATCAAGTTGGTGGGGAAGCCATCGGCATTGTCAATCGTTTTCGCTCGGAGGCATCTATTTGACAGTTCAAAGCCGGAGCACCAGGCCTTTCGCTCCCCTCGCCGGTGAGCTCGCCGCAAATGCAGTGTTATCTCTGGAGTCTAGACCACCCCCCCCAAGTGTGCATGAATAACTAGCCTTGAGTAATCTTGCCGCGTATACGAATCTCAATAACAAAGCTGTCTTGCATTGTGAACCTTATGGTCTAGCCAAGAACTTCTCTCTATAATTGGAATTGAGACAATGATTAACAAGACTCGGTAGGTCATGCTCAAAATACCAATCGACCCTTTGAATCATCAACAACCTTGGACAGAGCCGAGGAAGAGGAGGTTATCGTCAAAGCATGGATAGAAACCGTGCGGCGTGGCTCTAGCCCATAGTCACATTAAAGCCAGGGGATCGTTGTGTACTACAAGCAGTAGCTTTATCCTCGCCGGAGCGTCAGCTGAGCGGTAAGCATTGCCTCAACAAGCACCATTTTCCCGCAATAGAAGCCCCAGCGAAGCTGAGATCCGTTGACAGCCGCGGACAACGGCTGTGCGGGCCGTCTGAGTCCCTGATTCATGACGGCCGCACTCGGTGCGACGGCGTTTGTGGAGCGCTGTGGCCTCCTTGCCAAGCTTGCCAAACAATGAGGCGTGAGCGAAAGCTTAAATCGACGTTAACCCGCAACAGGATGTGACCCCAGCAACTTGAGATACGGCGATCCTAGCAAGTGAGAAGCACTGACAGCCGTAAAGATCGGCTCCACCAATCGATTGACTTTCGATTTACGGCTTGCCGCACCCCCCCAATCTGTGAAGAACAGCGTAACAGCATTTGTCTGGCAATGGATGTCCTTGCTCAAGATAAAGGCTGACATCAAACCTTATTCCCGTCGATTGCCATTAGCAGAAACCATCCCAGCTGATATCTGTAGATCACTTCCCTCATTCATCCTTCAGAATATCAAATATGGCTAGATATCTCGGTTATGTGATTGAGAACTGATTCATGGCGGCCGCACGGTCACACCGTTGTCTGGCGGCGGGGTCCATGGCAAACGTTGGCCCGGATGCGAAACCATACGCCGGAGTGTGGGGCAGACACGACCGGGTTCCGGCTTTGAACCAACTACATTCCTTCTAACTAGTACGGAGTACTTACTGACACAAGGCTCCATGCGCGGATAGAGCACATGTGGGCGCGGCTAAAGAGGACCCTGCAAAGACCTCTCGGAAAGGCTCCCCAGCCTCACCAGTCCAATCTCGGCCGAGACAGGGTCCCGGCCTTGTACCAATACTCCGTGAATCCGTAGACCTCAAGTGTTCCACAGATCCACCACGGTCAATTGGGACTTCCTGGCCAGCCTCGGTTTGGCCTGATAAGAACGCGGGGCGGCGGGGGCCAGCGTCCCGCATCTCGCTCCAGGGTTTCTTGTTGTCCGGCGAGTTAGAACGTAGAATAGTCCGTCGACTCCCGAGGAAGTCTTGTGGCCTGAAATGGCGGGATCCTTGCTGGGGGTGATTTCATTTCATCCGCACCAAATGACTAGCACCCATGGGGCTGGGTCCTTTCTGGGGGCTGATCTGCTGCTCTCTCTAATTCGTAAATCCCAGTTCAATTTTAGAACAAGGAGTCTTGCAAGGATGCCGTTAACAAAATTGGTTCTTATCTCTTTCAGACGAGACGACAACGTCATGAAGAGGTAAAGCTAGGCCAATACCAGTTGTCTGGCTCGCTGAGATCAGCCCAAACTACATGTGAGATTTGACCGGCCGCCTGGATTGCGTACTTACTTCGGGTTATTCTCTAAACTACCCGCGAGTCAGGTCATTGCTACCTCGAGAACTTGTAAAGACTATTGATAATTGGCCCAGTACGGAACTCAAAACCCACTTGAAGCATGGCGCGCGTCTCCATGGGCCATTGACGAAGCGTGGCACGCTCAGCTCAAGTAACTACAAGCGGTGATTCGACTGGAAACCGCCACGGCATGTATCATGATCACTGCTCAGCATTGCGATATGCAAAGTACACAGGGACCAAAGTCAAATGAACGACCCCCACACTAACTTCCGTCAGATATAGTCACTATTGCGACATACTACACTACCCATGTGCAATGAATGGATCCAGTATAGTCTGTAGATAGCGATGAGAACTCCTCGGGCCTAGATCGCTAAGAACTGGACGTTAGACTTGGTATAATCTATTTTCTAGCCGTAGCTCGGTCTCGCTTTTTACATAGGAGCGCACGAAGCACGTGTTTGAGGAAGCGCTAGACATATTACTGTAGATTTAGCTTCCCTTTATTTACCGCAGCCTTTCGGGTGATTGACTCGAGCAACCCTAAACTACATGTAACACAGACTCCTCTATTCTTTTCGGGTACTATTCTAAGGTTCACATGATCAGACGAAAAGAGAGGGAGAAAAAGCTCAGACGAAGCTCGCGACCCAAACATCCATGGCAGCAACTCCCTTCTTACCCCCCGGCACACCGTCCAAACTCGCCTCGCAAGCATCACGTAACGCAAAGACCACGGCGCGCTCCCGCTCATCCTTGACACGCTCCTCTACCTCACGCGCAAAACCGGATCCAAGACAGGCAGAAACCTCCCACTGTCCGTCCTGAAGACCTTCGCCGCACTGCACGCGGCTCTCCTTTTCCAGTTTCCAGCCGGCCGCGACAGCGAGTTCTGTGAGACGCTTTGGCCCTAGAACCGTGCGGACGTTGGAGATGCTCTCTTCGCCTTTGCGGCACTCTAGCGCTGCTTGAGTGAGGGCGGCTAAAACGTGTGGCCGGGCAGCAGCGTTCGTTGCTTCCAGGGACCATTCGGAAAGGAGAAGACGCTTGCTGTGCTGTCTGATGGCACGGAAGGTTTCCAGAATGAGAGACGGGGAGGAGAAGTACCATAGGCAGTGGGCAAGGACTGTTGCGTCAAAGGGCTTGGCGTCGCTGGATGAAGTGAGGGAAGAGAGATAGTCCTGAGGGCTTTGTTGAACCCAGTTGATACGATTGCCAAGCGGGCCTTGTGAGATGTGATCCTGTGCTTGCTTGAGAGTGTACGGGGCACCTACGCGAATGATTAGATGGCCTACCTGCCGAGGCTACTAGCAAACGCTACACAAGGCAGCAAGAACTCACCATAGTCCAGCGAGGCCGGGTCAACGGCAACCACCGTGCCTTGCTCACCCACAACAGTGGCGAGAGCGGTTGTGCAATCTCCCTGACCGCATCCTAGTTCTAAAATTTTGGAGCTTGCTGGAATATCCCAGTGCCGTAGGAGAGCCAGGCGGTGAGCGGTTTGGATGAGCTGGACATCGAAGTGCTTGGGGTCGTGCAAGGAAACACGAGCAATGGAAGCAGCGTCAAGTTGAGTGGACATGTTGTTGAGCGTGTAAGATGAGTGAGTTCTAGATGGGTGATCGAGAATCACAACAAGGATTAGTGTCCTATGATCGGCCAAGGAGGGTAAAGTAATGAAATATCTGGTGGATTCTTATTCCTAGAAGCTATCGTTGGGGGCAGTGGACTCTTGTATTAAGTATGTAGGGTGAGACCTGGCCTTTATTGTTTGTGTTAGGTTTACCCCTCCAAGGATTCGGGAACAAGACATGCTGCCCACCACCAGCCACGGCTAATCCTATTGTCGAATGTCTGTGCATATTCTGCCCCCAGCCCGTTAGTCAGTCCCTCCTCCACCTCACTCCCTCTTCCTCACCAACTCAAACCCAAATCGCGGCAGCATGGTATCCAGATGCATGAAGCTGACATGACACGCCACGCGCTGGCACTTCAACTCTACCACGAGATTTTCTGCCCCGCTAGGGCAGGCAAACTCCACCGTCGTGCTATTCGGTTTCACGGTGAGATCCAGCACGCCGAGCAGCTCGCCGCGCACAGGGAGAGCCGAGTACGACACGGTGTCGTAGTCGAGCTCGTCCATGTTTGTGGAAGAGCCTGGCTTCGAAGTGGCTGAGGGCGCAATAAGCTGCCAGACTTCAATTTCGGAAACGTCTCCCTTGGTAGTCAGGTCCTTGATGCGCGTGGAATTTTCCGGAGGCGCGAGCCAGTTGATTGCGCAAGCGTTGATACCAGCGGTAGGAACCGGGAAGCGCATGATAGTTGAGTCCTTTTTTTCACATCAGAATTCTTGTTTGAACCGCAGATAGTAAGAATGGGATGGTAGGAAATTGCGCGTACCTCGACAGTCACATAGACCTGCGGCCCATTTCCCCACACTGAATTCTTCAACTTGCGGCTCACTCGCACCACTCTGTCCGGCCAGGCGCGAAGATACTCTCTGGGAGGGCGAAGAATCTTGGCTGCTCTGTCAAGTCCTAGTCTGGCGTCACCGTAGGGAAGGGCATTGAGTTCAGAGTCTGTATAAGGGTAAGCTGCGTAGTTCGACAGCGTCGCAGGAAGCAGAGCGATGTTGGCGCATGATAGCAAGGCTAAAGCCAAGGAAAAGTAGAGGATGAGCTTGGGAAGCTGCCAGTGTTTGGCTGCCTGGAGACCTGGAAGATTCTCAGAGGCTTCCAACAGGGGGTGGTCGTCATCATCCTCGGAAGATGAGCGCTTCTCAAGAGATGTGCTAGAGCTAGAACCCTCGCCACCGCCTGGTCGGGAGAGCGGCGTGTACTGAGAAGTGTCCGACTTTGATTTAGAAAACATCGTGGGAGGTCGTTCTAGGGGGCAAATGATAGTAAGACGACGAACGATGAGGAAAAGGACGAGAGAACTGGAAGTTGTGGATGAAGAAGAAGATCAGGAGTGATTCACAGTAGGCCAGAGATAGCCAGACAGAGACAGGTGATGAGTTCGAATAAAGCTTCAACACGCGGAACTACCGTGTGGCGCAGTCTAGCCATTGAGGAGCACGTAAAGATGATGATGTAGTGGGACTGCAACGCGTCTGTAGTTTCAAACCTTCACCAGAACTTGACTCGATCAGTACGGCGAGAGTAATTTATCTGACATTCCGGGGTGACCGTGTCGGTGACTTTCGACAGTCTCAAGTCAGTTGAGAGGTAGACTGTCAGGTGTCTTGGCACGAGCTATATCATCTTGCTGTCTCTCTCTGCCGCAGATGGCCGCGTACAACGTGGAACCTATGCCGATCCAGCACTTGAAATCTCATCCACCATGCCTAACGTTCCTACCGTCCTTACTTTTCTGCTTGCTCTCGGCACCGGTAGTAACCTCGCATCCGCCGCCGCCCCCGCCCATGCGGGTTTCCACGTCCAGTACCCATGGTCGTCTCGTGGTGCCAACCTCCCGTCTCGGCCAGAATTAGATGAGTTCCACCCGTTTTGCCGTAAGTTTCTCCTTCCAGTCTCCAATTCATCAGACTCCCCAGTATTGGCATGATCTAACACACAGCCAAAGGGGAGATCGTGCACAACCCCCAAGCCTACGCCCGCAGCTCCCGCACGTTCCTTTCTTTCTCAGGCCATCCTGGAGACCTTGTCACAGCTCTCTACACTCGGAACAGAGTGCCGAAGAAGAGGGACGACTTCCCTCATATCATTCTGCAAGACTTACCCATCCAGCCCTCTGGTCAGGTGTGCGTCAATGTTACGATACCTTTCGAGACCAAGCTTAACGAGATGGGGGTCATGTACTTTGAGGCCAAGGACCCGGCGACGGGCAAGGTGCAATACTTTGTGAGTTACCCCAGCTGAGAGCTTAATAAAGTGAGATTGACTGATGTAACATGAATTGATAGTGCACTGATGTGAAAATGGCCGATACAGAGGCTCTCCCCGAAGAGCACCCGGCCATGTGTGCGGCTGGGAACGAGACGCTCATCCCGATGCCGGATGAATACCTGTAGATAGAGCTTGAGAAGCATTCACTCCTCAAAATTCTTTAGTCAAAATTGCAATTTCACATCCCTATCTTAGCTCAGAATACATCATATCAATGCTCAGGCACGCCACAACATCGGAAGGAACATGACTCGGTGTCAAGCTGGATGTTTTTGCACCAATTCTCTATTAGAAATCTGCCATTTAATCCTTGTTTACAACTCGAACGTATAGCGTGGAGTAAAGTTCACTGTCTAATTCTTTTGCATAAACCGAACAGATTTACCATGAGGAATTAAAAAAAAAAAAGAAAGAAAAGACAAAAGAGGCCACATTCGAGATGCGCCATGAGAAACATAGTTCTCCCAATATGACCACAGCGTTCAATGTCTTGGCAAGGCTATTAAAGCAGCATCAGAGCAAGGGCACCGATAAAGCGAGCAGTTTCCTCGTACTCGTAAATAGCGTCGGTAGGAGAGCGACCGATCGAGCCTTGGTCGCGAAGACTCCATGGCGCTATGCAAGCTCTCCACAGACGAAGATAGTAAACCTTAAAATACTGTACGACTATCAAGTCTTCAAGGGGCAGGGGCAAGGCTATCTGGCGGAGACCCGACTGGCGGACAAAACAAACGTGCGTGCGGAAACGATTACTCACCCCCATGCGCTCAGACACCTTGATTTACTCTTTCTGAGTTTTGGTATACTTGCTTGTGTGACCAGCGCTAAGAGGGTAGACTTAAAATGATAAGCAACGAAGTTTATTGCATGGCTTGCAGAGCTCATATGGGGATACGCTTAATTTAGGGACGCTTGCCAAAACAGAACACTGATGTTGAAAAGGAAATTCTATTGTGATTCTAAGAAGGACACCTTTAACTAAACAAACCTAGCTACGCATTTGATCACTGGAAGTTCGCAAAAGTGCTGAGACACCCCACTACATCTCCCCTTCTCGCTAGCAAGCCATAGAATTCATACCGCCCAAAACGATTTTGCCGCAAACCCGCTCCTGCAGTGACTTTTCCTGACTCGCTCCTACCGCTTTTGAACTTAGGCGGAAGTCTCATCCTTGTCGACGGAGTAGACGTGACGCTTCTCGACCTCGTCCTTATCAACAGAGTAGACGTGACGCTTAGCAACGGGGGCCTCATCGACATCAGGAGAGTAGACGTGGCGCTTCTCGACCTCGTCCTTGTCAACAGAGTAGACGTGGCGCTTAGCAACGGGGGCCTCGTCAACATCAGGAGAGTAGACGTGGCGCTTCTCAACCTCATCCTTATCGACGGAGTAGACATGGCGCTTGTTAAGAGTCTCGTCGACATCAGGCGAGTAGACGTGACGCTTTTCAACCTCGTCCTTGTCGACAGAGTAGACGTGACGCTTGTTGAGAGTCTCGTCAACGTCCGGGGAGTAGACGTGGCGCTTCTCGACCTCGTCCTTGTCGACAGAGTAGACGTGACGCTTGTTGAGAGTCTCGTCAACGTCCGGGGAGTAGACGTGGCGCTTCTCGACCTCGTCCTTGTCGACGGAGTAGACATGACGCTTGGCAACGGGGGCTTCGTCTACATCAGGCGAGTAGACGTGGCGCTTCTCGACGGTCTCGTCCTTGTCGACACTGTAGACGTGGCGCTTAGCGACAGGGGCCTCATCTACATCAGGCGAGTAGACGTGGCGCTTCTCGACGGTCTCGTCCTTGTCGACACTGTAGACGTGGCGCTTAGCGACAGGGGCCTCATCTACATCAGGAGAGTAGACATGGCGCTTCTCAACAGGAGCTTCGTCAACATCGGGAGAATAGACGTGGCGCGCCGCCAGAGCAGCTTCAGCGCCAGGAATAGGCCCGGCCTGAACAGGAAGAACGTTCAGGCCGAGACTGGCAAGGCTGAGCATAACACTGGTGATCTGCATTTTGAATGATTGATTGAAAACTTGGTGGTTTACAAGAAAAAGTGAGTTGAAGAAGATGTTGAAATGATGGTAAGATGATTGTTGTGGAGTAAGATGTTGTTGTGGATGTTTTTTCTTTCCATGGTCGATATTCTCTTGGGTATTTATGGATTTCGAGCGTCAAGTGATGAAGCTCATGGGAGGGATATCCGTTCGACAATCTCTCCGTACGACTACGAATCCCCACGATCAGAAGCGTGCATGTGCGTTATTGCGCCGGCGTTGCCTTCGCAATAATTCTCAAGTCGTGGGTCTTCAGACATTCGTGCCGAGTCTCCAACACGCCTCGTAAAGTTTCCCAGGTGGGTTCCACGGTGAGGTTCCAGACAAAGATCGTGACTAGCTATCGAGTTTGGTATACGAGGCTGGTGGAGATCTCCAACAGCAGGGCCGGGGGCGTGTAGATGGCACGTCGGCATGATACGCCGTCGGAAGGAGTCATGATGTCTTGATGTCCGTTCCGCCGGGCAAGCCTCATCCAAGCCTCCGTCAGCTCAATCGGTCAAGCCCCAAGGCCTATGGCAGCCGAATAAATTGACCTGCGGGCGCCCATGATTCATCTGGCTATCGAAACTTTACTTTCGTCGCATATCGAGCAGTCACATCATTTCGTGTGGAGCACGCAACCTGTTCCATACCTGCGGTCCCTTCCTTCCGCTACTGGGATCCGGATTCCCGAGGTTCATCTAGATGCAAAAACTTTCTTTCATCGCAAGTCCAGCGAGCAGATCTTGTGGAACCTCAAACAGTCCTGCGGTGCATTTCGTCGTCAACATAGCAACGGACATTCCGAAGTTCATCTAGACGTTCATCTAGACGATGAAACTTACTGTCGTCGTATGTCGAGCCGCTTTTGTGGGACCGGAGGTTGTGATGCGGTCCCTGTCAGCATACTTGGGGCTCTCCACATTGTCGATGCAACCCTTGGACAACTGACTCTCATCAGTAGATCTTTTTGACACTTGCGAAGTTGCGAATCCTCTTGCACCGCCCCATGTTATCATCGCGACTCATCTACTCAAGTGAGGGCGAGGGCGAGGGCGGATACGGCCACAGATCTGTTAAACACTGCTCGCCCACTCTCGGCGCTGCTGATCCAAATGATTGTGTTCTTTCTTTAACAACCTCAACGCACTACCCTGCCAGCACGCCATCATGTCTTTGAAGTCTCTGAAGTCTCAATTACGAGGCCCCTCACTCGGCCTTTTCGCAGCCCTCTGCGTATGCCTCGTCTTGAACCTGGGCGCTCTCTTCTTCTCCTTCCGCGTCTTGACCCGTGGTTCACAGTCATACAGTACGTCGAATCCTCGTTTTTTGTTAGTTTCTTTCTTATCTTTGTGACTAACACATTATAGCCTACCTCGAAGGTGACCGGCCACATGAGCTTCCTATCAAGGTCCGCACCATTCAGGCCGAATTCGTAGATGATCCTGAGCACTACGGGATGGAAGGCTTTGCTTCTACGGTTGAATGGAACGCAATCCGTCCCCCTGGAAAGGGTTTCGTCTTTCTAGGCCAAGAGCACTTTGCGTTTGGCGTGTCGATGTGGCATCAGATGCACTGCTTGAGCCACATTCGTGCCGTGCTCGTTAACGGAGACGACGGGTCTGACCACACGGAGCATTGCTTCCACTACTTGCGGCAGGGTATCCTCTGCGCTGCTGACACGACGATCGAACCTGGTGGCACAAACAAGAAATTGCCCAATGGTGACAAAGTTGCTGCAGGCGATGGAGCTAAACACACTTGCCGGGACTGGAGACAGGTGCACGATTGGATGGCGGAGCAACATTCGAAATGGACGCCTGAGATGTTTGAGAGGATCAATGAGTCTAGCCTATAGATATTTTGTTTGAAATGAGAAATCCAAGCATAGCAATAGAAATTCTTAACCTTTTACATCTTCGCTTCAGTAACTCGTCTGGTCTGCATCTTCTGCTTTATTCCCTGCATGCGCTTCGTGTGATCGCTTCGCGTAAATGGGCGCGCACAGACTCAAGCAGAGCTGAACTCTGACGGGGAGGCATAGGAAACGGGACCAGGGTGTCACTGATTCGGACTAAGATCCCCAGGATGCCAAGATGCGTTGTTTATCATTCTAGCCCGAAGACTGTCACTCATCATCTACATACTGATAGCATAGTGGCCCAGCCTCCGTGTCAAAAACCTGCCTTGGCGTCACGGGCACACTCTGTACATCAAATGGCATTTTGTAATCTGCGCTAGCTTTAACATCATATTGCGGGTCGCTCATATTGAACGAGTGAAAGGGTATGCCGGAAAAAGCGGCAAAATTGGCGGGGTGTCGGCGTTGCCACTGTGAAAGTCATCAACCCACGTTAGTATATTTGATATAACAGTTGAATCAAGCAAGGTTTGGAAGGGGTGCACACCTTGCTCCATAAACGGTCAAGCTGCGCATGATGCAACCAAAATAGAGGGTCGTTAGGCGTGAAGGCGACGGCTAGGTCCTTGCAACTTTCCGCTGGTAGTTTCTTTGGGCAGTCCCCCGCCAAGTCACCGCCAACGAAGTTATGGACATGATTATGCATCTGCTCCATTGAGTGCTGGAAACTGTAAAAGTCGCCCGTGTGATGTTCAGTCGAGTTCCGCACAGAGTCTGGGCCTAGTGTGGAGTTCTGGGGCTTCTCATGATCGAACCACCCAGTGATGAGCGTCAAGTTCCTACGCAGTGGGTGAGGGATCGGCCAGGCAAGCTCCAACTGGGCAAATGCGCCTGTAGTGACCTTGCAATCAGCCTCGGGGGAAGAACTACAGTCTCCAGTCCCGCCTAGTCCAAACTCGGGTGAATCTTCAAACACGGAAGAGCCGACCAGGTCCGCGTGATCGCGCGACCAGTCCCAGTATGGCGTTGGACCGCCGTACCCGCAGTTTTGGCGGAGAGACGCGTCGAACAAATAGAGGAACCAGCGGTCTGCGCAGGTGTCAATATAGAAGTGTTGAACAAAGATTGAGAGGGGAAGGAACATACGCCACGGCAAAAAGTAGACATTCCTATGTGCGCTGTGCTCTACTGCTGCGTGTGAGTACGAGAAGTCATCGTATAGACTTCTCATTCCCTCGAGAACTGTTTGTTCCGGCGTGAATGACAATCGTTGGTGCCGTATGCTTCCGAGGCATTTCACAGCTCCCGCCCAGCCAGATTTCTCGTCCTGGGTCAATGTTCGCCATTCTTTGCGTTCGAAGAGCTTGCCGCACTTTGTTGCCTGTCCGTGGCTGTGGAGAACTGAGAAAATGGCAAGTGCAAAGAGAAACAAAATTGTTCGGCCCATGGCTCTAACAAGAATGTGGGTTTAGATTCTTAGAGAAACGGCACGATAGACGCAGTCACACAGAATGGATGGCAGTTACAAGGTTAAATAAGCAGTTTGACTGTGTCGTTTGGATTATGTTCCACTTAAGCGCTGTTTCGGCCAATGAGAGAGTATCCTATAGACTTATATTGCCATTCCGCTGGCCGACACCAAGTTTTACCTCAATTGGTAGTACAAATGCTTACGCTGTGGCAGGACAAAATAGTCCACGAGTTCAATTATTATCACGTTGAATGCACTAGTATCATCACGGAGCGTCATTATTTCAATCGTAAACGTCTCTTCGTTCCAATGCAAGTTGTATTGGCTACGATGCCAGAAATTCGGCTCGGCAGAGAGTCTGACGTGGCCTGTCATCCGAGATAGTTTCCATACCTGGCAACTTTCCATGGTCTTTGACTCGCCAGCAGCTCGCGGTAAGGCTGATTGTACTAGAGGGAGGGATGCTTCTTGTCTCACTAGCCGAAGGTTTACTTCAAGTCACTACAGAGTGGGACACAAGCCCCCCTTGCAGAACTCTAAACCTCAACAGAGATGATCCCAGTTACTATCCGAGGGACCGTGAATCGTGGTAATCCACACTTTTCGATTCAGACAATGCTCAGACGGTAGACCCCATCGCTTGGGGCCGGACGGCGGGCGCAGCCGTTGCGTTCTGATACCTGCGGCGACTTCTGATATTCGAGACTGGATGCAAAGTATCTGGCCCTGAGGGAGAATCGCAGCTGCCGAGGAGGTTCAAGGGAAAGGACTTTCCCACTTATCACGCCGTTCATCCACTTCTCAAGCTCATTCTGCTTTTATCAGAGCTGCATTTGGCAACAAGAATAACCTCTTCTGGCGCAAATTCATACCTAGCCGCAATCACAATGATGTACTCGTCAATTTTCCCTTCCCGCTCCCTTGCTCTCTTCCTCTGCATCATCTTTCCCTTCTACCTCGCCCTTCGCGGGTCTGGCTCATTGTCTGATGTTGCCATTTTCTTTTCCAAGCTCTCCTTACGCGCTGAAGCCCTTCACGTTGCGCTCAACGCCCCTCTAGACACCCCTCAACCATCCATTTCCAAAGCACCCGTCGGGACTTCTACGAGGCCTGCCAAGGTTGTACGCGCAACTGAAGGAGGAAAAAAGCTTCCCGAGGATCTGGCACACGCCATCAACTCCTTCGAGCAGTATGCGTCTCTCGCCCAGGGAGTGTTGCAGCGGAAGTATGCGCGGTACGACCGCCAGACGCCCTCCCAGAAGCTGATGAGCGACAAGCTCGGGTATTCTGCGCACTTTGAGAAGGCTACGGAAGGGATTAATGTAAACGCTCGTCTCTCGAAGCAGATTGCGCAGATTTCAAGAAAGCATTACCAAACCGGTCCAGGACCGTTGATAGACGAAGATGATGCCGAGTTTGGTCTTGTGGACCTGACCTTTGGACATCTTTCGCGAGACTGGAGCACGTTTGGCGCCAAGGAGAGGGAAGCTACTTTCCCGCCCGTCATTGCTGGCCTGGAGAAACACTTTGGCAAGAATGCCAAGGGCAAGAAGGTTCTTGTACCTGGATGCGGTATGGGCAGGCTAGCAAGCGACATTGCTGATCTGGGTGCGTATCCTTTCCGCAGTTGACTTGTGGGCGTGAATTCAAGTTTTGACACATGGATGCAGGGTATGATGTTACGGCCAATGATCTGGACTTCAGCTCAATACTGGCTCACCACCTTCTTACAAACCATACAACCTCACTGCATCAACATACTATTCATCCCTTTGTGACCAAATGGACCCATCAGTCCAACCCTACCTCGCGCTACACGGCCCTGACGGTGCCGGATCACATGCCGAACAAGGCTGTCAAGTTCGTTGAGGGCGACTTCTTGGAGATGTTCCCAGAGGACGGCCAATTCGACGCCGTTGCCTCATTGTTCTTCATTGACATTGGCAGCAACATCATTGATTTTCTGAGCAACATCCACCGGCTGCTGAAGCCTGGTGGCACTTGGGTCAATCTTGGACGTAAGTAATCACTCTTACTCCAGAACTCTTCCATGAATTTTGACCTTTCTGTTTTTCTTGTAATCCAACCAGCGAATTCGCACTGACATGTGACTACGTAGCGCTAAAATACGGTACCCACACCGCCCTTCAGCTCTCAGCCGAGGAAGTGCTTCATCTAGCAGATCTGATTGGATTCGAGGTGGACCTTTCATCGCGGAAGAATATTGACAGCCTATACGCTCAACAGCCAGAATCATTGCTCAAGTTCACTTATGGTGAGTACCCGTTCAGCTTCTTACGGGAGGCGAAACCGATATCTAATAAAGAAAACAGTAACACAATATTGGACGGCCACGAAAAGAGCTTAGGCCAGAGGTGTTCTGTTGCTTACAGGACTGGAGCTAGATGTAATGTCGTGTAGAATGAACTATGACATCTTGTCACATAGGGCAGCAGGCCTGCTGTGGTTCACACGACTTTTAAAGGCGGTGAAAGCTACTCGAGTGAGCTACAGTGCAAATAGATATTGGATATATGACATTTTAACCTTACAATTCCGCCTGGAAAGCTCCGTCATGTTGTCAACCATGAGTTTGAATGATCGCTCGTTGTTTAAACTCAGCCCCTTACTGCCATAGTAGTTTGGGCATACATGATGTAGAGTGTAGAGTATAACATCTTCACGATTGGCATCAGTTATTCTCCCTCGAGGCCTTCCATTACTGGTTTTGCATGATTTCATGAAGGTCAATGTCGGCTTTCTTAACGACCTGAAGTCATAAGATTTGAGTCGATGGGCTTCCCCATAAAGGCCATCTATCACTTTTGTTTACGTTGAAATATTTGTCCTGAAGGCGAGCGACTTAGTACCAACGTAACATAGCAAAACGTCTCTATTTTTGTTATGACAGAGATGCACAGGCTCATAGCCTTATGTCTACGAGAAGATTCCCGACGAAACATTACGAACCCGAGCCAAGTTATCTGGCCTCCCTTTCTGCCTTCTATCACACAGTCCGAGGGTGTACGAAACAGAATCACATTGAAAAACATACCTAGCCGACACATTTTGTCATTCTCGGCATCTGAATTAGGCTGCAGTAATGACTTGGTAAACCGTAAACGTGATGAAGGCTATTGCAAAAGCGCAGTCTCTCTTCAAAGGACTATCGATCCCACATGTTGTATTCGATTGACATGATTTTCATGTTCTTTACAAAGCGCTATGGCGAGCTGAAACAGCACTTACCGAGACTGTAGTGAGATTGACCAGTGAGGAGTAGTTCAGGGGGTGGTTATCGAGGCTCTTGCCGTCAAGCGTAGCGTTTTGCAAATGATGCTGCACATTTGATAGAACCATTGACATAATCATATTCAACTCTGTCTCTTCATATCCTACTTGCGTCGTTGGTCTACAAGTAAGTTGTAAGTTACAGGTGGAACTTATATTGTATGCGGCCACGAATGGCAACTGTAATATCTACTAACCTACCGTCGCACGCTGACGAGACTCTATGGAACCTCCATGGTGAGTCTCACTCTCGTACATGTGACTCGGCGTCAATAGATTGAGAAAGTGAGACCGAGGTGACCATCTAGGTTGTCTGATATCGGGCATGGTAGGTGTCTTCCTCTGATTGAATCTGATCTTTCCCAGGGGACTAGAATAAAACTCGTTGCAATTTGTTCCACCAGTCCGGAGCTACAGACTACTTTATGGCAGCTGGAAGCAGATTTTCTATCACAAACGGCAGATGGCGTCGTCTGTACCAGTGGGATACCGAGAAGAGAGGTAGGAAGGGCGTATGGGTATCAAATGGGTGGATAGTGCACGGCAGCGCAATGGAGTTGGGATCATGAACCACATGGCACGGTTACACTAACACGAAACGTAGAGAGAGAATAAAGAATCTCCAGAAGATTAGATGACACGTCTATGAGATGAGATGAACAGACTTGTGAGATAAGGTATGAAGGGAGCCGGTGGGCTGTCAACAACTCATCAAGTAATGTTACACAGCCACAGTTTCGTCCAGGCTTAGCGCCACCTGCGCCACTGCGCTAACCACATCGTCGCTGCCTGGCGCGATGTTCGTTCCCAAGTGCTTACGGACTGTGCCGCAATCCACGACCTGCTTAAACACAGCGGTTTTCTCGGGTTTTTAAGCCATCGATGGTTCTTTTCTCTCTAGACCCATCAGTTGATTCAGTTTTGAGCGAATAAAGGTTTGGATTGAAGCAATCATGCCTCCCACGGAAAGGAAGAACAATCTCGATCTTTCGATACAGCTCCTTCACCCAGAAACGCCCCTTCACGGAGGCAGCGTCATTCTCGGCCACATCGTTCGCAAATCGCACATCGTCGCCGCCAACGCCACAGTCCGCGTCCGCCTCTTTGGCCGTGCGAAGGCAAAACTCGTCGTATCCCGCGGCAATAACCAAAAGAGCTACTACCGTTCCCGTTTCAACTTTTGGCCTGAGAACGCCGTCGGCGATGTAGTCCACCGCGGACCTGTCCACGTCGCGCCCGGAGCTGGGGGCCAACCTGTATCCTGGCCTTTTGCGCTCGCATTGCCGACGCATACGGATGCTAGGGCCGTGAATGCCTGTGGCGGGGAGAGTGCCAAGGAGGCGTGCTTTTTGCGCCCCAACGTCGGGGGTCATGCTGGCCTAGGGCTGCCCGAGCAACCGCTGCCGGGGACATTTCATTTCGACGGGTCTGGGTTCAACAAGAGCTGGCATGGTTTCGTCGAGTACTGGGTTGAGGCCGAGCTGGCGGTGCATGGGAAAAGCACAGTCGTAAAGGCGGCGATGCCTGTCAGAGTATTTTCGCCTCCGGTGCCATCGCCAATGATCAGCGACTTTAGGCTGGAGAGGCGGAACAAGACTGGGTGCGTGAGCAGTCAGCGGTTGCTACCAGGAATGACTGACGCGGAGCTGTCGTTCAAGCAGAAGACGCAGAAGTTCTTTGGCTCATCCAAAGTTCCCACCTTCCACTACACCCTCGATGTGCAGTATCCCACGGTGATTCAGCTGGGAAACGAGGCGACCATCCCGTTTCTGCTTCATCTGACACCATCCAGGGATCGGACGTCGGATGTTATTGAGGATGTACCGCAGACGGTGACGATAGAGCAGCTGGAGCTGGAGCTGCAGACGACGACGGGCATCATTTGCCCCGGAACTCTTGATCCTCACGACGCAAACAAGACGCGGAAACTCTGCTTGGCGCGATTGAAGCATCTCTTCCAAGCCCAAGATAGCACCATTGTTGTCCCCTCGGGTCCTAAGGAAGTTCCGCTAGACCTTGGTGCTGTCCTGGATTTGCGAGTGGACGCGCTGGGACGACTGCTCCTCGGTCAAAGAAACGGTGCAGGTTCGTTTGGGCAGACGGTCGTTCCTACCTTTGTGACGTATTGCTTAAAGGTTGAGCACGTGTTGCACTGGGAGGTGAAGCTGTCGGTGGCGGGCGAAAGCTGGAAATGTGAGGGAAGTCAAAAGTTGCTTGTTCTGGCACCAGATGAGGATACGGCAAGTGGGAGGACGAGGGCATCTGCGGTAGCTTCGTCATCGAGTGCACCGCCGCCGCCTGTTGAAGAGGTTCCTGCTTATGATGGGCCTAGCGAGGCAGCTCCAGCATATGAGAAGGTTGTGGGCGGTGGGGAAGAAGCACTGGCCATTGAGGGAAAGTCTTGAACGTGGGATAAGACGCAGAAGAGGGAGAGACTAAGAGGAGTTCATGGTTGAGAATCGGGGGATATGAAACACATGATACCCATGCAACGGCGGATTCAGTTGGAAGAGTCTACATGTACGTACCCTAGATCACGAAGATTGAGTATTATTGATGGCAGCACTGGGTCCAACGCGGAAAATCTCAAGAGTGTGTGATATTTTGCTATCGGGTATCTGAGCTAAAACTAACAACGACCTCGAGCCGTGAGACAACGATTTTGATTGCGAACAATCCTCGATAGATATAAAAGTTGTGGGAGAGCGAAAGCGAACTGAGAAGTGGTTTGTGTCGCACTCGGACTCGTGGAAAGGTTCTCAAGCTGGGATGGCCAGCTGGGAAGACATGATCTGGTGCTATTGCTCGATGGCTTTTTGTTATCTTCACGCCTGGAAGACTCGTGCCTCGAGTGCTGTACGGGTCCTCTGTCAGTAAACTTCTCCTCGACGCTTGGCTTCAAAAAACCAGAATCAACTCACATCGCTCCTTCGCAGGTCTACAGCTTGAGCAAACAGCCCGATAACATCCGTCGATAATGTATCGTTCGGCACCGGGGTTGGTATCAGAGCACCAGTTCAAACAAGCTCCAAAGTCGGTCCCAAACGTGCCGCATTCTCCGGCCGTGACCGGCACGACAACAATAGCAGCGAAGAAAGATGCGGCGAGTGCGAACTTCATTGTGATTGAATTCAATAGTGCGAAGTTAAAAATCAAGCTTAATGGAAAGCACCGAATTACGGCAGAATCTGAAAAGGAAATAGCGATAACGAAAGTTTTTTGGCTGAGAAGGTTTGATTGACTGGGGAAAAGGGAAAGTATGTCTCTCTTTTGTAAAGATCTACATCGACGTTGCGTGGCTCTTTTATTTCAGTCAGCATCATTCGCGTTCACTATTAATCTCTCTGACACTTGCAAATACTCGGGCGGGTGCAGGACAGACGTGGAGTTTCATCCCGGAATAGAACCGGAGCAGGCCGATCATTTGGAAACGACCCAGTATCACGGTCACAGATCTACAGTGCTCATTGCTAGCTAAGATGAACGGCGCGCCAAGTGCTGCTTGACGTATCATGTGCATAGCAGTTGTTCCATTATACGCGGGGAGTTAACGAGCGCCGTGGGCACACGAATCATTTCCTAGTGGGAACTCCTTCCCTTCTGCTAGAATCGAGTGGCCAAGCTGGAGTCTGAGGGCCCAGGAGGCTGGTTAGACTGAACTTTAAACCTGAGTTGACAGGGAAGTTCGGATTCTGTAACGGGTTCGAGTCAGTTTTTGGTGCAAGACAATACGCCGCACGATGAGGAAGGCCTCATCGTGACCAGGGTTTCCGTCCGAGAGACCCGTGACGAATTAATATAATCTCCTTCGCGACTGATGATTAGCCGATGGAGCGAGAGAAAGAAGCGACATTGATATGATCAGCATTCGTCTAAGTGCTTGGGGCTCGAGAATTTTGGACTCTCTTTATGACTGAAGTACCTGTAGCAAAGTTCACTGACTTCCTGAAGCCCTGATATAGGGTCCTTCATAGGCTATGCATTGAGAACACGTATATCAAGCCAGGTGTGCATGCCCAAAGCTGAGAAGCCTGGAAAATTGTTTCATTTCGGAGAGGCTACGGGGTTCAGCATTTGGCTGAGCAGACTTCTGGCAACACGCGCAATGAGTTGTTCGCAATCCACAAGATGCTCTTTAGATGAATAGTCACGTCCGATTAGTCAATTCCTCCGCATGAAACTGAGCTTGCTCAACACTATGTAAGGTACACAATATTGGCAGCGAATTTAAGCCTTTCCGATATTGATGCTCACCGTGTCCGCAAACCCTCCCTCCGGAGCATTCACAGTCCAGACCCTGCCTTCAGACATGATGTAATTGGTCAGGTACTTGATGCCAGCGGCAAAGATGCTAACCGCCTTCCTGTCATTGTTGTTGGTCAAGACGATGCCCTTGCAAGTGTAGGTCCACACGTTGCGACTGCCCTGGCGAACCCATCCACCAACCATGTGGAAGGAAACAGTGACGCCCATGAGCAGAAGTGACTTGGGAGAAGCAACTCCATGAGGAATGGGTATGCCGTCAATGCGCTTCTCGAGGGCCAGGGAGGAAGCGACTTCGTCGTTGGATCTAACGACACTATCAAGATGTTAGACACGGAATTCAAGACAGAGCACATCGAATTGACATACTTGGTTGCATCGGAAGACTTGATCTCGGAGCCGATGAGCTGAAGTGAGCCTTTAGCATCTCCTTCGGAAGTGGAGAAATGCTCGACGGGAGGGACAGCCAGGGCCGTGACGGCGGTGGCAAGACTCAATGCTGCGAGGAACTTCATGGTCGTAATCTGAGTGAAGGAATATGAAGGTCGAAGTGGAAGCGATATAGGTAGGCCGTGGTGTCCAAAGTCTTCAAGGCCGGGAGTTCCAGAGACTTATACCGTTTGATCAGAGAGGTTAATGCACTTGCAAGTTCAAGGAAGCTGATGGATCTGCTAGACGCTGTAATAATTACGAGCCTGTACAGCTTCTCATTCGAATGAACTCGAGAGAAAAGGAATATCAATAACACAAGCTTTCGATAGGGGAAAGTCAATCCGCCTGGTGTCGGAATTTGGTAGTTTGAAAGTTGTGGCCTAGTAACCTCCGTGTCGATCAATCTTTCAAGCCAACAAGTCCGAGGTGACTGGACCGGAGACTTTCGCAGTGCACCAGTGGACGAGCGAGGCTTGCCTTGATCAGTATTGGGCCATAATGATTCAGACTTGATAGTAATCTCATTTAGCTTACCTTTCTGACGACATTCTGCTTCGAAAGAAGTAAGTTAAATTTACGCGTAATGAAATGCCGACTTTTCTCTTGAGTCGCGTGCCAAGTTCCCCTTGGTCAAATGATTAGTTGCAAGGTTGACTCATGGTCATTGAGAATGCTCCGCCGTCGCTGAGCACGACGGTGAGATACTAACATGGATCGACTGAAAGAACTTTCAGGATTCAATATCAGATAACGACAATATTTGTCTGTCAATATCCTCGAATCCTCCTTTCAAGACTAGCCAGACAATTTTGAAAATTTCGCGCGCAAATGATGAGTATTGGTTTTATGTGTAAGGTATGGTGATTATGAATCAGTATAATTTAGGTACTTAGGTACGAACAGCAGCGGTGATTCGGTTTCAAGGCAATCAAATATTCTATGTCTGAACAAAGTCCTCCATTCCCCTATCAATTTGGGCGCTTACAGAGTTTCAAAAGTCTCTTGAAAAACTCTATCGCTTGCAGAAGCCGTGGCCAGACTTGCCAGTAATCTTAGGCTGGGTAGAGTCGATGACATCGTTGGCCACGGGGTAGTATCCATCACGAGCCTGCGCCTCGCAGACGCGGTTCCAGTCATCGCCATCAACGCGCTTGTGGGAGAACCACTTGCACTTTAGTCGCGAAATGTTAGCATTAGACCTGACTATTGTCACAGGTGTTGTGGCAGGAGTGAAAAGACTTACCCTGCCCTGACCGTGGTTGTAATTGGCCTGTGATTGTGTTAGTCAATAATTGCCTCCGCCTTGGAACTTCGGTTTCCGAGTATATACAGACCTCGCCCTCGTAATTGTTCTTGCAGGCGTTGAAGGTGAGCTGCCAGTCGTAGGTCCAGCCTCGGCCGTTCCAGGTGCTGCAGGAGCACTCGTAATGAGGGTCCGCGGCGACGCCAGGGGCGAAGAAGGCGCCGAGAGCGGCGAAGAGAACGGTTGAGGCAGAGAACTTCATCTTGGCGATTTGGATCAGGATGATGAAATATTGTCGAAGTGATAGATGGTTGATGATGAAGAAGCGATGATGACGATGAGGGTGGTGATGAAGTGATAGCAAAAGAACGCCGGATACTTGCCTCTTTATGTTCTTCAATGGCAGTCATATTACACGAAAATTGCAATGTAGTTTCCTCCCCATACGAAAAACTCAGAATAATTGGTAGCAAGTAGACTTGACTCGTCCCGCGTCAATAATCTCAGCCGGAACTTCCCAAACACGCCGGTCGCGAGACTGTCGACAACCTCCAGACCTGGTCTCATCATAATTATCCATGTTCTGAGATAGCAAAGTCTTCAGAACACGAGATAATTCTTTATTTTAGTTTACTAGTCTGACCGGATGATCTCGAGACTTTGATAGTCTGCTGTCTCCAGATGTCCATTAAGAGTTGGGTTGACGTCAAGACTTGAGTTTGGAAGCGGTGAACCTCGCAGCTCGAAGTACTCACTTTTAGCCGGCTACACCGATAGTCTAGACCTGATTGGCCTGAAATATGGTCTGGAAAGCATATTTAGGCAGCGTGTTGAGGTATTCGCAAGTATCGATGTTATGTCCATTCACCTTGCCTTAGCTGTGATCCGAAGCCTTATGAGTGCTTGTCTTGGGCTCAGCATTGCCACATGCAGCCCCACATACACGGAGATTAATCAACTTCTAATTCAAGTCTGTCAATATTCCCTGACTACGGATTATTTTTGGGTAAGGCGGGGAGTATCACTGCACGTGTGATATCAGTAAATTGTTTTCCCACGCGGTTACATTACACCTGGTGTTCTACATGCCAAACGTTATGGTACCCATGTCAATTTCTGCCGAAGATTTGGAAATAGTCATGTGTCGACAAACTTCATCGTTCTCATAAATGACTATTGCAAGGGGGTCGGCAGATTTTTGTTGTGGAAACAGTGGCATGGAGCGATCGACATGGGAGAAACGGGTTTACGGCGCATGAGACCTTGAAGACAGGCTGAGTAAAAAGACTAGCCACTTGTTAGCCCCGAGAAGCATGTTCCAGATCGTCCTTACGAAATCACGTCGTATTGATGCGCGGTCTTGGCATGCCCGGGCCCAGCATCGCCATAAGTTAAGCTTTCAAGACGATGGAGTAAATCAAACTAGACTCCCAATTCTGCAAAAACTGCCCGTGAATGGAAATGGTTCCCGCACACAACTTGGACCATGTGCCTAACCTATTTTGACCACCATATCCACTTCTCAAGCTGTGACTTGAAACTTCGATTGTGAGTTGGCGTGATGAATTTGACAGGGCTGAAGTTCTCAACGAACACAGATTTACCGAAGGGTATGGTGTTTCCCTCGCCTCGGACATAGGAGAAATGAGGCTTACAATTATCCGAGATCATCTTTCAGATGTTTGGTAAGTTGGGGAGAAGTAGGACAAGTTCTGAGAAGACTGGTGCTCCAACCTCTCTTGATCTGCATCTGAAACGGGCTAGAGGTCTAGCTTTTTATGTGGCCATCAGAATTGAGTCTTTCTTATTATTTGCCATCTTGTTTTGCGTAAGACCAAATTACTCACCCGTTGCCTCTGTTGATGTTTTGTCACGACATGAATGCCCAATGTATAGGAGCGTTACGGAAGTATGGCGCCGACAAGCCGGCACCAAAGTCTCACGTAAGCGACGATGATGTGATCGAAAGCTGGCAGAATACCTATCCACGTCTTACCAAAAAGGCAGTGTCAAGCGAACAGACATTTTCTAAGAGCTACCCTTAATACTCTAGGCCTCCTCGTGGCCCACGACACAGACGAACATCCTGGGGAGCCATCGTGCAGGGCTAAGCTAGACGACTGGACAGCAGAAAAATTGAACCAGCAATCAAATTAAGAAAAGAAGCGGTTCTGGTACAAAACAGTCACAAAACACGTCTCGAAAAAAAGAAGTAAAAGACTGAGCGTCAAAGCCTCCGTTGGTCCGAAGACTTTTTCGGAGATATTATATGTTGAGTAGGTACCAAATGGAACCTTTGACGATCCAGAAAAGTCAAGTACATAATCAACCAATGAAAAGAAATTGACCGAGAACCCCACGACTTACGGTACGGAGAAGTAAGGTCTTGGAAAGTTGATGTGTAAGGATGGGTCGGGAACTGGTGGTACATGGGTGGCTCAATGACACTCGACCTCCATAACACTACCAGCTAATCAAATCTACAGACCAGGAAATGCATGCCGGCTCAGGCTTTCCTGCACATATACACATTGAGCGATTACACTGTACGCCTTGGTTCTTCCTACTCATCGATCGGAAAGGTCGTGTTGAACGCAGCTAGAATTCTAAGCAAGGCTCATGTCAAAATATCTGCTGATCCCAGACTAAGTACTGATGCATTAATCCAGAGACATGAAGGCCAACGAGAATGACTTTGTTCCGCAAACCGTGCTGGTTTTCAGCGCTTTCAGCAACAGAACTGTGACCTCAATGGATTTTTTCAACTTTGAGGGGCTCGTTCTCTACAAGATGTGTGGACCAGTTTACATCCTTCTCTCCAGTAACATTTCGAGTCAAGATCTCGTCATTTGTGACCAAAGCCACAGAGTCGATAGCCCTTGCAAAGCAGTGCTAATGACCCTTACATCTGCCCCCCAATCAGCATTAGCCCCTATTTTCTGATCCCGCATTGCCAGTGATTGTTATCGTACGGGCCACGGTTGGTGCAAGCACCCGAAAACCCACCTCGATCCTGGTATAGAAGAGAATCAGCCACTTACGTTGCTTCAACAAGCGTTCAACAGAACAACCAACAACTGTTTGCGCTGCCAAGCTGCGGGGTTCATTCTGAACAGCACAAACAATCATTTGAGGAATATAAAGCCGCTCGATCCCCCGTTCAGCGGCTTGAGTATGCCCATTCAGCAGGCGAAAAGACAACCCCCAACATCCTCACTTAATAGACTGGCCCAGACTATTACTTCCGACATGGCTGAAACAGCATCGCACACAGCAAGCAGTCCAGCTGAGCCAGTCTCAGACCCCGCTGTGTCACTGGCACAAGGCGGAGTTTCAATCGCGGCAGCACCCTTGGAAGTAGATGATAACTCTAGCGTCAGTTGCCTGCAAAAGTGTCCGAGAACCACGAGACGTTCGAGCTTACTATTGAAAGACCACCGATGATGCATCAACTATCGACGACCGAATGTAAAGATGCCAGATTCCCTACCCCGCTCCCGAATTGCCGTCCAATAAGAGTGATTAGCTGACGAAGGACTCAATTTCTCCTAGCTCTTCATACACAGCCTCTTTGACATCAAGTGTTGTAGACTACCCGGAAGAGTATGGTCGAACATATCATGCTTTCCGGGCAGGATGTAAGTGAGAAATCGAGGATCAAATGTAGCCCGTCCAGCACAACTCACATAACATCCCGACATAAACAGCATACAACTTTCCAAACGATGAGGTACGAATGCCGCAAATCATACCACTATACGGCCTTTCTAACATTGATTGCATGTCAGAGAGAGATGGATCGTCTAGACTTGACGCATACCATGATTGTCAAGACCATCGGCAACAAGTTCTTCCTCGCCCCCATCAAGGCTGAGGTGACGCACCGCATCCTCGATATAGGAACCGGTACCGGAATCTGTAGGTTGCTTATTGAGAAAGGCTCAATCTTGCATTCTCAGTTTTAACCATGGCTGTTGTCTATTAGGGGCCATTGAGATTGCCGACTTGTTTCCAAACGCCGAGGTACATTTACATGAGCCGTCAACCGCCAAGGCCAGAAAAAGCTGACTTAGAGACTATGTTAGATCTTTGGGAACGATCTGAGCCCGATACAACCAGCTTGGTGAGGATTTTGGACACCAGACATAGGCTGTTAATAGCTAATTTAGAACCAGGGTGCCGCCGAACGTCAGATTCGAGATTGATGATGTCGAAAGCGCCTGGGTTGTCAACGAGAAATACGACTTTATTTTCACGCGATACATGGCTGCTTCAATCGCAGATTGGCCGAAGCTGGTCTATAGAGTATATGAGTGGGTTTGAGACCTCCGATTGTCAGGGAATACTTAGCCACAGAGTGGATCGCGTCCCGTTCCATAGCGAAGTTGAACTGACGTAGTCGTGTGCTAGAAACCTCGCGCCAAACGGCTGGGCTGAATTCCAAGACATGAGCGTTCTCTACGCGTGCGATGACGGAACACTGACCGAGAAGCATGCAATCATGAAGTGGGACCGTCTTTTCATCGAGGCTTGCAAAATGCTGGGGCGCGAAGACTCCCCTGGCCCCAAACTCGAGGGTTGGGTTCGTGAAGCTCCCTTCAAGAATGTGGTTCACCAGCACTTCAAGATTCCTCTGGGTCCATGGGCCAAGGACGCGCACAACAAAGATCTTGGAATGTGCAATCTTGCTCAAACTCTTGAGGGCCTCGATGCATTCACCTTGAAGCTGTTCATTGGGGTGCTTGGATGGACTAGGGAAGAGGTGATGGTGCTGTTAGCCCAGGTTCGCCAAGAATTGAAGAGTGGTACTTTCCACGCATACCTTAACTAGTAAGCTGGATTTACCGAGAGAATTAATTACTTTACTGACGGAATATAAGCCACGTCGTTTACGGACAGAAGATTGAAGAGGAAGAGGAAGCAGCTGCGGACGACTAAGCTGAAGCATGGTATTGTCGGCATGAGACACGCAGAAAAGGTAGATGGAGTGAGGTGGACTGCAACCGATATAATCAATAGGTTAAAGGTAGTGAATTCTCGTCTGATAGTAATTAGAAGACAAGTATAAAAGCTGAGAATCCATATGCGAGCCCGGTAAAAGAAATGCTGCTTCATTCAACCGACAATCAAAGAATTCAGGTTGCTCGCAACCCGCTAATACGCCAAACACCATGTGAAAAAATGGACCGAAAAACACATGACCTCTACCACCACAAGCTCAAATTCAACCGCCTGGTACACCCGCGCGGATGTTGTCGTACTGACTGTTAGGGTAGCTCAGCTGATTGAGACTCTGGTCCTGGGTGCTCGCGCCACCGAGAGCATTGAAGCTAGTCGCCAGAAGACTTCCACTGTCAGTTCTGTCGCCGCTCGCCTCCCAGAACATGGAACCACCGAGGCCCTTGCCTGTCAGGTATGAGACCTTGGTCCGCACCACGGCCGGGGTGTCATAAGAGATAAGCTCTTTGGCGGCCGGATCGTAGCTGTAGGAGGCAACCGCCGTGGCATCGTACAGCTCGGTGGCGCCCGCTCGGGGAAGAGCCTTGTAGTCCCACACTCCGTTCTCCCAGGAACCGCTCCCGATACCGGTAAACGGCTGGCCGATGCCGTTGGTCTGTTCGAACGAGCGACCGTAGATGGGCATGCCAAGTACGATCTTTGCGGCTGGTACGCCGGCTGCGAGGTAATCGTTGACAGCAGCATCAGTGGAGAATGGCGTCGACGAGGGGTTGCTCGGGTTCGGGTACAAGTTCGCCTGATGGCCGCTATTGGCATCCCAGGAACCGGCATAATCGTATGCCATCAAGTTGAACGCATCAATGACATCAGAGATCGCTTTGAGATTCATGACGTTGTAGTGACTGGGGCCAGCAGGTGAAGCAATAGTCAAAAGGTAGTGATAGCCGGGAGTGTATTGGGCGGCGTAGGAGTCCAGCTCGCTTCTGACTGCTTGAAGCAGGAGTACCATGTTAGCTGCTTCGGTGGCGTCGGCTGGATACTCCCAGTCAATATCGATGCCGTCAAAGCCCCAGTCTTTCATGAGTTTGACAGAGGACTGAGCAAAGAGGGCTCGGCCTTCAGGCGTGCTAGCGGCAGCGGGGAAGTTGGTCGACCATGTCCAGCCTCCAATACTAAGCATGACCTTCATGCGGCGGTTGGCCTTCTTCAAAAGGTAAAGCTGTTTGACGCAGCCGTAGGCGTTCGTGCCGACATCGTTCCAAGCTAGATCCCCAATGAGTCAGCATGTGTCGGTGTTATATCAACAACGAACAACAAGCCTTACAATCAGTAGGATAGTGCTTCTCCAAATCGGCGTAGGTATCGGCAGTGTAACTTTGAGTGGGTTGGAATGTTAGCTCGCCTGTTCCTGCGCTAGTCATCTAGGTCGAGCTGTGAATTGACCTACACTTCACCAGTCGCGCGAAGATTCATGAAGGCATAGAGGACATTAGTGATCTGCGATGCTGGAAGATTCTGGGGCTGATAATTGCGACCGTATATCGCCCTTGAATGATATTAGCTGAGCTCTATCACCTCAGGTCTAATAACAACTTGCCAATTAGTGAAGTAGACTGCATTTGTGTAGCCTTGGAGACCTCGCTCCGTGATGTTCGTCGGCGCCGCCGTGGAGGGGCGCACAGCTGTTGAAAGTATGCCACCCATAGTGATTAATGATTGAAGAAGCTTCATCTTGAAAGCGGTAGAAATTGATCCGTTAAATAATTTGCTAAAGGAGTGAATACGAGAATGTCTCTGCAAGTCAGGTACACGTCACTGGACATGAAGCGATCAACTGATCATATTATACTAATCGAGTCCGTCGATGTTAGACAAGACGCTATCTACAGTAGTCAGCCGTCAAGCAACAATGTCATTGTTCAAGTCCTGACGTCCAGTCGTCTGGGTGTGACTTGCAAACCCGGTCCATTCCCAGCGAAACGTTACGCGTCTTCAAATGAGGTCGTCAATTTTGACTAGGCTTGTAGACCCCTTAGATCCGCTTCTGCGATTCATTCTTGGTATGTCGGTCTGTGCATGTGCAAAAATTTGAGCGCGTCGTCTGTTTGTCACGTTCAAGTGGTAGCAATGAAGTTGATGATGACCTGCGAGCCTGGCCGCTCAATGTACCATTAACACACCATAGTCTATTGTACCCACCCAGAGTACTGGTTGCAAGTAACAGCTCGGAGATTCGCTGTGAAATTCTATGTGTCAAGGGAGCGCCAACACCAAAGGTGAGGATTTGGCGATGGTGCCCGGTGAGTGGCTGGGGGCGAGGTGAGGGGCCGGGGCTAATGCAGGTGGTAGCCGACTTTGCTCTGTTAGCACAATAAGAAAAGTCATTGAGATTGGCTGAGTTCTGATATTCTTCAGGACCTACCCTTGAATGGCCATGTGCCTACAATTTGGCGAATGTAGGGCGAATGACCGAGTCGGGGCCGAATGTGACCCTCCACTGCGTTGGTTTATCGCCCGTTTGGGACAGGCCCAATGTGAGCACATGCTTCCTTTCTAGCGAATCCCCTAAAAGCTATAGTTTTCTTATCGCGGTAAGGGAGTTATAGGAGAGACTTGTGACGTGTTTTTGCCAACTATCAATTCCATTGAGTGGCTGTTGTCTTTGATAACTCAAGCCAACTTGCACTGCCGAGACAACTGAACAAGACAGGCTGTCAAAAGAGAGACTGACCCGCAACAGAAACAGCCAAACTCGGTTCAGAGTTACCCCGGCCCAGCACCACATCGAAAGAAATCCTACGGAACTCACCATTCCCTTCAGGAAGGTGAAAATGTAATAAGGCGGCAGCGGCACATCACCCGCTCCGCCCTTTCGTCAAGAACGGCTACATCAGGGGCACCCTTATTGATACTAACACCATCTGAGCAGCTGCCATCTGATGTCTTGCATATTGCAGAGTTGTATCGGCGGTTGACCCCGAGGTTTCCTATGCCATCTGCAATGCCCATGAGGCTCTCTCCAAGTGATATATGATCTGCAACGTTGCAAGTGGAAACCGAAGCAGCGGGTGCTCAAGATTAGGATCTACAAGGAGGAACGAACCACCACTCGACGCCAGGATGATACTCGAGATTTAGGCAACCAGCAACTACTACGACGTTGTGAACGTTGACTACCTCCCGAGTCGCTATCCGGCAATCAACTTGCCACATCTCGTGACTACCTTAGTCATGGAAGGAAATCGGTTCGGTCCGCACGTTACTTTGGTTTGCAACTGACGTTGACCCCGGCCTTCGGCAGTATATATCGTCGAAGGATCAGAGTGAGGAGGCAGAAGCGCCATGAGTTTATTGTTTCAGCGATTGAATCCCCTGCTGCGAGGCACGGGCAAATTGATTGTTGCATTAGATTTGTCTGGCAAACGCTACTCTCTCACTTGGCAGTTCCCACAGTTCCAGTAGCACGTTGCTCTGCAGCTGCATTTGTTACAGAAGGATCTCGAGTCACTGCAGCTGGCGGATGTTGAGGATGCAAGGCTTCTTGAGCCAGGTTACCAGCATTTCCATCGGCGGCCCCGACCTGTGTCTCGCCGCCGGGTTCCACGTCGGCTTGCTTTTCAGCGAGCTCTTTCTGAGCCTTTCTAATACGACGGCCTCGTCTGATGGCCCAGATAGACAGACCCATGACCATAGTGCAGAAGACACCGACACTGAGGCCGATGGCTAGGTTTGCCTCCAGCGGGAGATGTCCGGGGTAATAGCCATCGCCCAGGTAGGTTGTACCACCGTCATAGGATCCGCCTCCGGAGCCCGAACCCGAATCACCTGTTCGACATTGAGATGAGGTAGATGAGCACCAATCCGGCCTGACGCTCGTTGACGCGGGGATCTGAGCTCCGTGGCTTGAGAACGGAATCAGATCTTCCGTCTGCGTGCTGCTGAACTTTGTCTTCGCAAAGCCAATCTCTTCATTGATTAGGTCAAATACCATGTAGGAATGTTTGAGGAATGTGTTGCCCAAGGAGTATGGATAGGAAGCAGACGTGTATGTCGATGTGGAATTTTCCGACTGGACTCCAAACAGGCAGTACTCGGAGGCCGACTCGGTCTCCCAAGACCACTCCGAATGGGACCAAACATCTTGAGACACCACGAGGTCGGCAAGAGCTACATTCAACACAGGTCCCTCCGATCCGTACAGCTGCACAGCCAAGCGACCCGTGGTGGTGTTTTCCGTGCAAGGAATAATCGCGTAGCCGAGGTCATCATTCCAGGAAGCGCCAGCCAGAGCCCAAAGATCTAAGGCTATGTCGTTGGGTAGCACTGATAAAGCAGCATCTGGCGAGAGAAGCACTAGGTTCGAGGTGTCATATGCGTCGGTTTGTTGACGCAAAGATTCTCCGAGAGGCTGTAGGTCATCTGTATCTGACTTACTACCATTGAAGGACGTGATGAAGGTGTCAAATCGCCTGCTTGTTGACCATGACCCCGTTGTGCGCACTGAGAAACGAAGCAGAGGGCCCTCAAACTTTGATGTATCGATCGCACCCAGCAAAAGATTCCCAGACGTGGCGGATGAATCGTCCAGCCAGAGACTGTACGCGGGGGAGCTAATGAGACCATCTTGTACGAGGCGTTCAGGAACGGTAGGATAATTCGAGGTACTGCTCGGGCTCGCGGTAGATTGTGCACTTCCGGTGGTGTTGAAACCCAGGCCAAGGACACCGATCAATACATCTGCCGATTGAACATAGCCCATGATCATCTTGGATATCTGGCTGCCAGCCACGCCTATTGTGTCGCTAATCCATTCTCCCTTAGCTCGGCCGACCGAGTACCTGGTGCTGAAGTCCTCGGTGCCGGGGTTGACGTAGGTGGATGACTCGTTGCTCTGGAATGCGCCGTATTTGCACGAATATGAATCGAGGTAATAGGCGCTCCTGGTGGAAGAAGAATCGTAATAGTCGCTATGGTTGTAATAGTCGCAATACTTGGCGTTTGGGACCCAGGTATGCTCAGCCTGCACAGAAACCCTCAAGGAAATATCTTGTGGCGGTGTACCAACAGTGGCGTTGACCAGATAATTCCAGTCCGTCACGTAAACATCCGTCGCAGAAACTGATCGACGGTCCGCCACGTCTTTGGTTTCGACATTGCTACTGGCCTTCGGCTGAGGTTGATGGGAGAACGGTAGATGAACTTGCGCTAGGGCAGTGGCAGCGCAGCCACTGAGCGCGAAAAGAGCGGACGTCCTCATGACGATGAAGGACAGAAAACGAATGACGGCGATGAAATGCGCATGGTGGAAAAGAAGGGAAAAGGGAGACCAAAAGGCGAAGAGTGATAAAGGAATACATTGTGAGCCGATGCGACGAGAATTTCCGGCTAATGCAAAGCCAAGCGGCACAGTATCTTTCAAATAGGCAGCAGAGCAGTAGCTCAACCAACACGAAGGAATACGATGCTGTAGACAGGGGTTTAGCGATATTACGAGGTGGAGTTCCACCGCTTGAATTGGGTTAGGTGATCTAGAATTCACGAACTAGCTCTAGCTAAAATTCAAGCTTCTTTCTCCAAGCCACCGTCAATGGGCGCCGGCGGTTGGTTCTCAGTTCTCCAAGGTTAGACTTTCTCAAGGTTCCGTCTTCGCCTGAGCCGGCGCGTTGAGAAGCTCCTTTAACTCACCGAAGGCTTTGAGTATGCTCTCCGATTCTCCCTCCCACTTCTTCCGCGACTCTTCCCCGATCTCTCCGTGGCCCATGGCAGCTACCAGATCCGGTCCGGCCCCACCCGCAAAAGCAAGCGCCGGTCGCGTCGGCGCAACCCGGAGTTTCATGCCCTCCAGCGTCTTCTGCGCCTGCGCTGACGCCGAGTTGCCACCCATGATGCCATAGCTGACTACAGCAATGGGTTTGCCGATCCATTCGTTATACAAGTAGTCAATGGCATTCTTGGTGCCGCCAGGCAGGCCGTAGTTGTATTCTGGAACCACAATGATGTAGGCATCGTACTTGGCGATTTCCCTGCTCCACGCTTTGCTGTGCTCGTGGGCGAAGTCACCTGCAGCTGGGACCTGAGCGGGAATGATCTGTTCATCGAAGACGGGAAGTCTGAAAGAAGAGACTTCTACAAGATTCAGATCGATGCCATTGGTGGTAGCATCTGTGGTAATGGTATCTTTCACCAGTTCCGCGACCTTAGTTCCAATGCGTGGGGTTCGAGTGCTCGTCGCGATGACGGCAACTTTCTTAGCGGCACTCATATCAGTGATAGATTGAAAGATTGGAGATCAGAATGTCTGCGATTTGACTGAATTTTGCAAAGGTTCGACAATGCCTGTGTCAGGTTGAAGTTTGATGGAGTGCAAATACTCGAAAGTAAGAGTTGTTGCATGTTGGCTAAACAGCCTTTTATACCAAAGATGAACAGCCAACGCCATGTGCACCTAAATTGTGTTACTCGCTTCTGTCTCCAAGTCTTGCAGCTTCAGCTCTCACGCCGCTGATTCATAATCAACTCAAGTAGTCCTGTTCCAGTCACGCCTGACCACGTCAGAGAGATAATCATTGTCTGTGTTCTCAACTTCTCAGAAGCACGCCAGACCCGCGCGCATCGATCGCGAGAGGCGTCTTGAAGTCAGACAGATGCGCAGCCAAAGACTGCATGTACAGACTACCGCTCTCATATCAGCCTATGAGAGGTGTCTCCTCGTATCAACCCTGTGTGGCTTCTTTGGTGCTTACATCCGCGCGCAGATGTCTACGTTCTTTCGTCCCAACTTGGGGAAAGGCGAAACGAGTCGCGCGCGGGGAACGGTAAGACGTAGCGACCCGCGCGGAGGTTAGTCATCCACACAGAGATACGTCAACGAATGAAAGAGTTTCCCCCGTACAATGTTTCGACGAACCACCTCCACGATCTCCAACAACTCGGTCGGTGCATCGTGAGACTCAAACCAGCGGTGTGTCTTAGTCGTCCCGCGCTGACCCGCCAGCATCTGTGGACCACCAACCATGATCTGGTTAACCCTGCCTCGGTGGCTCAGTGGTAAAGCGTCTCACTCGTACTGTTGTCCGTCATGAGAAGATCGGGCGTTCGATTCGCCCTCGAGGCACCATTGCTTTTGGCATTTTTTATCTCAGCCTCGAAGATGATCTGCTTCACACGGGAATAGAGACTATGTGCTCAAGATTGAGACAAGGTTCAACACTGAGAATATAAGGAATGGCTTTCGTGTGGTTGGGCTTGCCACTTTGTTTTCGGAACTGTTTTTACCAGGACTAATCTCATGCGGCTGAATAAGAGCTTGATATGTACATTGGTTCACTGTTACTATGGCGTTGACACGATAGACAGAGAGATGGTTTCTTCTCGGCGCTTTGAAAGGCAGATCATGCAGATGCCAAATGGTCATAAGATCCGCTCCTGCACATAACATTTTTTCTTTCTCAGTTACATTGTACTGTACTTATTCATGCTGGACAGTACAACGATCCGGAGCAGCAGGAAACAGCGGCATCTCGGCCTGAATTCGGTGTGCACTAGATACAAGTCAGCTATAAAGCCAAACCGCAGAGCTCTTCTGCAGTGAAAACGAACCTTTGACTTGCAGATCGCCCATGGATCAGCGTAATTGATTCTGCACTACAATAAGTGGAATGTTAACACCTAATCTTTCCAGTACCTGGAGATCATCCAAAATTCAGTTACAAGTGAGCAATCTTACGTCTTCAAAATTGCAGTCTGAGGGAGGGCCAGTGCAAAATTGCGCAGAAACACCCTGGAAGATGACAGCGGCGGCAAGGAAGAGCGTTGTGGATTGGAAGTGCATTATGAATCTGTACTCGGAAAGATGCTTGGTGCAGAAGATTGAGCTCGATAGCCAGGTGTCGAAATTTTTGTGATTGTGAAGTGTGAGTGATGTGATTAATCAGGTGATATTGTCAATGTGGATGTTGTAGGACTAAGGTATTTGTACTTATATCATCTACAATTGGCTCAAGCTCCGCAGTCCGTACAGAGTCAAGAAAGATCCACATCGTAAGAGAAAGTTTTCGGAATGATGTCTCAAGGGAAGAAAAGCTGCAGTGTACGGATACTGGACTTGTCGTAAGTAGAGTAAAGGACGTGCCTGCGGAACCAAGCAGCAGCAATTCGTGTGCGCACTAATGGCTACATCCTGTATCTACTATGTCGACTACATATACCTGGCGGATAGCTCCATTTCTTAGTTGCTACCGGGCTTCCATGCAGTGCAATTAAGTTCGCTATTGATAAACATGAGACGAGACCCGCCTATTTTGTAGTTGACTCTGACTCGCTCTCGGCTCAGATGATGGAGTTTGCAACGGAATGCCGGCTTCTTCATACAGCGTTAAAGCATCTGTTGAGCTCCGGCCAACTTGAGCCCTGGGAGTTGAAACGGGATGTGGCATACTGAGGGGAGGCAATGACTCCTAAAGACATTGAGGCGGGTTCAGCTGCGAAGTCCGCCCGTATTCGTGAGTGATGTGGGGGCAGTCTTCTAAATCGTCCATGTTCCCAAGGCTCCGAGTAACTTGGAATCAATTCGACATGCGTTGCCCAACATGTGGCTTCTAGGGAACCATACATGAGGTGCTTAAGTTGGGCTTCAATTGGTGAGAGTCAATGTATAGTAGTTTTGTCTATCCACGTAGATTAAATTGTGCCAAAAAAGCACTAGTCCATGAACGACAAGAGGAGGAGCACTGGCTGGGTATCTTCCGCGGTTTCAGAGTCTCGATCTCTACCTAGTTATGTTTAAATCCACTGCATCACATATCCTTTTCTCGATTAGCTTCGCAACAATTTGCAGTGCCTCTGCGATTGTGCACTTGGTACAGTATGCAGTGCAGTTAAGTGTTGGGCTTGATTTTGTCTTGCCGCGGAAGCTCCCTATCTTAGCTCATCAACCGTTCAAGTTCAGAGTGCGTGCACTCACTGCGCTACTCCACCGCGCTGGGCGAACCGATGACATGATCTGACAGGGGCGTGCTGGGCCTCATCGCCGACAACCGCAACTGAACGGGAGTCTTCTTGTCCATGGCACCACTCCTCGCTGAACACATGTCTAGACCCAAGACCAATGACGGACGGCGACCAGGACCCTTGCTAACTCAACTTCTCAATTCTCTCTTGTGACATTGTCAGCAATGAAGACCGTTGCGGTGTGGCTTGCAAGGGGGCTTGCCTTGGCCAGTCCAACTGGCACCAACCAAGGACTGAGAAACCAGGGAAGATGACGTCACCGAATAGTCGCCCCTCGCCAAGAGCGCGATGGCATCGAATGAGGTCAATGATTGAGATGGGTGATAGAGCCGTCAGCAAGAAGGAATCCTGCTTGTCAGGCCTCTCAGCTAAACAGGTTCTCCTGTCCATTGCAACATCAACCATTTACTTGGACAGTCGAGTTTCGAAAGATTGTCAGATATATCTGCAAAGCCGGCACCTCCATCGGCTGTATCCGATCCCGATTTCTGTGCATCAAATCACACAAGGATCATCCTCCACGAACCACTACTCTCTTTCACGTTAGACAGGGACCATTTCTGTACCTGCGGCACCATGAGACGAACCAGTCGCATATTGCTAGCTTCGCTGGTCCTCCAATCCACAACCTTCGCACAGTCCGACCTGCCCTCAAAACGTGGGCTGGCTTTCCAAGGCGACGACCACACAGCCGACAGCCAATTGCTCACCTCCGCAAAGTCGTTGATCAGCTGGTATTACACATGGTCAACATGGCCTGCACAGGCCCTTAACAGCTCCATCGCGTTCATCCCGCTCGTCCACGGCGTCGACGATGCCTCAGATTCAGGTCTCAGCTCACGTCTAAACGCACTACCTGAATCATCTACGCATCTACTCACCTTCAATGAGCCTGACGGAACGACGTCATCTGGCGGCAGCAGCATCGACCCAGAAGATGCTGCTAAGGCCTATATTGAGCACATTGTGCCCTTCCGCAACTCCGGCTCTCGCAAGTGGAACATCAGCCACCCGGTCGTCACCGGCTCTCCGCAGGGGATTGAGTGGTTGCAAAAGTTCAATGAGTCATGCTACGACATTGACGACAACGGCTGCCCGACCGACTTCGTCGCCGTGCACTGGTACGGCGACGCGACCGGCCTCAAGAACCACCTTGACGGGCTGCGGGATTTCTACAACTCCAAATCGCCGGATCTCAAGTACTGGATCACGGAGATGGCCCTCCCTAAACAAAGCACGGATGCAACTCTCGCCATGATGAACGAGAGTCTGACGTATTTGGATGGACTAGACTATGTCGAAGGTTACGCCTGGTTCGGTGCCTTCCGCAAGGACGAGGCCAATGCCTGGACCGGTAACTCCGTGTCGCTGTTTGATGGCGACGGCGGGCTGACAGACCTCGGTGCTTTGTACCTCGGTGGAGACGAACGAGGATTCGAAAAGGGCCAGAAGGGCGAAGGCAACTTTGCCGGCTCGCTGTCTCCAACAAGGGCGCTGCTTTGGACGACTATTCTTGCCGCTGTCGCGACGTTGTGGTAGACGTTTTCAGGATCAACAAACGTCGAGCAGAATATTTTGCTTGATTGACGTTATGTACGAGGACATGTTTACGATTCTTCTTTGCATCTACGTACAGATGAGTGTGCAGGTCACACAGACATATTACACTTATAGCGAGATTGATACCTATTTCATTAGATTTTTCAACTCATACAACAGACTAGGAACATACAATCAAGACATCCAATATGTGTAAAACTCAGGAGCAAACTCAAATTCTGAAACATACTCTCAGGACTGTAATTCTATCAACGAACAGAATAGTGGTTCTCAATTAAGGTAATCGACAGTCTCTAACCCTCATTGAGGCAGCTCGTGTCGAACATGCTGCTGGTTAGATAGCTCGGGAGCAACCGCGTTGGCATAGCCCCAAACGAACTGTGAATTCGAACCACCAGTTTTTGAGCCGTCGTTCTCAGTCATCTCTAATGTTTGCGTGGTATTCGCCGTCTTCTTCTTCTCGCGCAATAGCATCAAAGCCAGTGCCCCAGCAATAATTGCAAGAGGCACGCCGACGCCAACGCCAATGCTCGCCGCGGCGCCTGGAGAAATGCTGCCTTGGGTGTCTGTATGGCTGTCCGCAGGGCACGTAACAGTGCTGTTTCCAGTTGTCGATGTAGCCGCGGGACAGTCGCCAAGATCCGTGCTTGCCGCTTCGTTTAATAAAATCTTGCCGGGAAGACTGACGGTGAAGTTGCCGGTCGCACAATTCTGTAGGTTGCTGCAAGAGAATCGTGCGTTACCACAAGTCCAGACGCCGATATGCAGCGAACTGTCTATGAGGCATGATTCCATATATTAGCAATTATGCTCATGAATGGGTTTGTCTAGTAGTTGTCGATCGAAGCCACACTCACCGCCTCCAGGTATGTCGCTCTTGTCGCAGTACTTGGGACACCCGCTTGACTGGAAAGTATCGTCGGTGCAAGCCCCACGATACATGGTCAACGTCAAAGGTTCGAAGCAAAGACCATTTGTCAGGCAATAATGGTCTTCGAAACAGCATGCGGCTGCTTCGGTGCCTGCGGCAACAGGGCAAGGTTTGACAACATCGTTCGGAACCCCATTCGGCCAGTAACAGGTTTGGCCAGTTGCTAAAGTTGCCATCAGGGAGATTATAAAATAGAATCTGAGTTCCATTTCGCTCGGAGTATCAAATACTCAATGTACGCTGCGTGTGGTTCTATCACCTGTGAAAGGATGGCTTAAGCTTGACGACGAGATATCTCCTCGACATATAGATGAGAATTCTAAGACGTAGTGACGTTTGAGGGAACCTTTTCAAGCTTCTATGGCTCCTAGTTCCTCCCCGATCAATAATTCCTGTCGAGATCTGAAAGTCTGCGTGTATGGCCTGAGGTTCGGCGATCCCACATGTGTGTTGAACAGAAGCCTGGTACTTGCTGTATTAGAAGCGTCATGGACTAGCTGCGCCCCCTCTGACATGCATCATCCAGAAACTTGATCAATCATGCGCTTCTGGGTGTTTCTGAGTAAGCTCAAGTAACCCACTAGACTCGACTACTAATCCGCGTACAGTGATACGAGCTCAAAGTCAAGTGATAAGCTGCCCTCCTAGAATCCTCATTACTTGCCAAGATGTGATGATCTGGGGAAGAGTGGTCGCCATTGCAGGCCATGGATTGCATGCTTAAGTAGGCAAAAATTAGTGCTTACCGTTTGGCCGTGCTTGGAAGGAATCCAAGAGCTTGGAGACAGAAGTTGGCCTTGATTTCATACCGGTACGACTTGATACTAGGTGTCCTGTGCACATGACCAACCCCAGATATTAGATGCATTTTCTTGCATGTCAGTAACGTCGAGGAGTACAGGCTCAAGAATAGATCGTAAAAGATTTTGAAGGCTAGATATCTACGGTTAGTTGCAATCCGATCGGACGCAATGTTCATATGAACCTCGGTTACTCTGGGCACATAGGCCCAACCTGGTCCAAGGCATGGAGAGTTGCGTCGACTCGGGCTACTATCCAATCAACAGCATCGAACACGGGTGAGAGAGCCTGCAATCCATGACTATATTATCCCCGATGGAGCCACTCGAAGAAGATTTCCAGACATTGACACATTGTTCACTTGTTTTGTCTGTATTCGTATGCAAACGCTGGTAAAGAAGGTACCTATATATAGGTAGCATGCTCCCGCCGGCACCGCCGGACTCGGCAACAACGCGCCCTTGGTAGACAGTGTTTGAAACAGCTGCGAACCGCAGTTGCGTGCTGCTGGAAAGCCTGTAGTTCGTTGTTGCGGCTTTACCTCATTAAAATTGGTTCCTTCTGACAGAACAAGGTTGACGCTACCAGAGCTTGGACGAACCACGGGAATTTCCTCGTGAATTCTAGCTTGCGGCACGGACAGTGTCCAAATTAGAGGCGGGCCACCCCGTGTGCCGAGAGTTCCACCGTCAGGCGGCAATATCCGAATCACGGAATGGTTTTGACGTATTCCACAGCCAAGAGACTGCTGAAGCTTAATAAATAATCTCGAACTCAGTTGATCGTTCCTAGTCATGGACTATAGGACTTGGGACTTTGCCTTAGTCTAGCCAATTTAAGTCACGAATACTTAATTTGTACTGTGAGAGCTCAGTACCGGAATGTTTCCAAACGTAGGTTGCCTTTCGCCATCATATTTGTGGCTTAACCTCGGACAATGGATAATTACTATATTGACATTGACCAAGTGGATATTGGAAGCCGAATGAAGAGTGATGGGGCAAACACAAGTAAGCCCTTGCACAGGATGCTTTTGCAAAGACTGAGAAACAAACGAGGCAATGGCCAAGACTAGAAGTAAATAAAGCAGTGAATGAGAACTGAGACTCTCGCGCTGAACGAACCAACACATCCTGGTCTCCTGATGGTGCGCGTACGGACAAATCCGATCTTGAGTCAGATGGGAGTCTGGAAGAGGGACATAATGGCACTTACCTAAGTCCTTCAAATTGCTCTCGAAATCGTAAGGCATCGCCTCGTTTTTCCCGGCGACAATTTATTTACAGTTTTGGTCTCGTTCCGCGGCCGCCCACCAACACATGCACCAGGTTATGAAGAAACATAGTGCGTCCCCGACGTGAAACTGCAAATAAAGTCTACATTGAGCAGCTGTTTCCCTTTGCTCTGGGACCTCTTCCATTGTCTACCCACACTCTTTTGCTTCTTGCTAACCGTCACTCCTTTGCCGCTATCATGTTGTTGAAATCTCTTAGCCCTCTTCTGGGCTGCCTCGCCGTCTCCCAGACCGTTTCTGCATCACTATTGCCCCGCGATGGCGATGACTCTGGTGGTCACCCCTGGATTAATCATGACGCCGTCGTTCCATTCACTCAGAAGCCTTCAGTCGTTGGTGGAAGCTTGGAACTTCGTTTCAACCCCTTCCTCTTCGTTTCGGGAGGTTGCGACCCTTACCCGGCAGTAGATGCCCAGGGCAACCTTGGGTAAGTAAACTTCCTTTGTTTTCAGTTACTCCTCTGGCATAGATCACTCTTTGAAGATGAAAACATGCTGATACGATGCGAACTAGCGCTGGTCTGAAGCCTACTGGTGGTGGTCGCAGTGGCTGCGGTGATGGTGGCTCGGCTCAAGTCTATGTCCGTCGTGGAGAGAGCCAGGGCCGGAAGGCAATTATCTACAGTTATTACATGCCCAAGGTCCGTTGGGCCAAGGGAAATAACAACGGTCACCGCCACTACTGGGCTAGTGTCGTTGTCTGGGTCAACCGCTTCGGCTGCGACGACAGCGACATCACGTCCATCTGGCCCGTCGGAATCTCCTACACCACTGACCACCTGAACTGGGGCTCGGCTTCTGCCGGAGAAGTCTCTTTCAGGTCCTCGGATGTTGGCATCGATATGGCTACACACCCCAAGATCCAAATTCACGACGAGGCCATCGCGCCCTTCACCGGCGCCGATGGTGATAAGCTTTTCGAGCGTACCCTCATCAGCTGGGATTCCCTCCCCGCGCTCGCAAAGCAGGCGTTGACGGACGTCAAGTACGAGAAGACCCAGGTTCCCTTCACGGACGAGCACTTCCAGGCTCAGATTGACGCTGCCTACCGTGATGGTTTCTATGCTGGTGTAAAGAAGGAGCCTGACTGCCCTTCAAATGATGTGCCTCCAGCCGATAACCCGCCTATCACTACAACGGCCGCGGCTGCCGAGCCTACCGGCTTGGACAAATAATCAATGACTACCTAGTTTGGAAGAAGTTGTTCGGCTTTCGACAGTTGGGTTAGGCGGCAGTTCTTAGGTGAACGATCGGACGAAAGTCTGTCTGTACTGATCTATTTACAATTCGTTCAACGGTTTGTCCATAGAGAACTTGAGAAGGCCATCCGATACTTAGACGAGGAATAATAAGTCTTAATTTCCGAACTATTTCACCACATGAGAGCCTAGATACATGATAACATCCACTTCAAGTGTCCAGTGTACAGTTCTAAAACTCTTCGGAGCAGGCTAGATAGTGTCGCAGCTCTTGATGAACGTTTCTAAAAGTTCAATTCGAGATTATCAGCATGATCTACAGATTTCTTGAGCCCCAGTCATTATATGTTGTCTCCTGAACGTTATAGCACAGCGACGTTGAGCGTTCAGATCGGAACATCTCAGTTGAGGCGTCATATTTACGTGCCCCTTCGATGGGAACAAATTGTTTATCTTGTGATATGGCAATTAACAAACGTGACTTAACCGCAAAATTTGACAAACATCTATTTTACTTCGGAGTAGATAACCCCCTAATTTTGCCTTTATAGACCTGAACTAAGCACATCCGCCTGATGTTTATGTGATACTGGCCACTATCCACCGTGAATACAATTGGTGAGTTTTCGCCGATCTGCCTACTGTTTTGAGTTCTATTAGATATCTGACGGCAGAGGCTTGTGCGAAGCGGTGGGCGCCGGTGGGGCCTTGGAGGGCATCGGGCCAGCCGGCTCCGGATCAGTGGGGTCACCTCCATCCTCATCGCCGTCGCCGCCCGGAAGATCGGCATAGAAACCCTCATCGAATGCCTTGTTCAAGTTATCGCCAAAGTTCTTGTCGATAAAGGGGACCGAGGTGTGCTCGAAAATGGCACCGTCTAGCTGCTTCTGCGCAGGCTCCGGGAGCATATCCCAGTCGATGATTGGGAGGTTGAGAGTGTTTTCCATGTTCTCGGTGAGCGGGCCAACGATTTTCTTGCCCCAGTAAGCCACGAGCGGATGCGTGGGCCTGCCCACCAGGCTAGCGCCCGACGACCACTTCGTGGCGGGATATGAGCCAACGTTGTACACTCCATTGTCGGTTTGGTAGCTGATGCCCACGGGTTGCGCGGTGTTGACTTCGGCACCGTAAACCCATACCACGATGGATGCCCAGTAGTGACGATGCTCCTTGTTGACTTTGGGGACGTAGAAGGAGTACATGATTCCGGTGCGTTCTTTGACTATGCCAGTTCTGACATAGAGCTGGCCTTCACTAGACCCACAATCACCGTTTCCCTTGCCGGTGGGCTTGAGACCGGCACTTCATGAATGTTATAGTTAGTCTAAAAGCCTACAGCTAGTCACCTTTATAGACAGAGTAGATGTGCACATACCCGAGATAGCCTTCAGCATCTACGGCTGGAAAGGGAACACATCCTCCCAAAACTTTGATGAAGGGCTGAAAACGAAGTTGAAGTTCTCCCTTAGATCCAGAGGCAGCTTCAGCTGGGAGGGAGTGGATGTTGTTGTGGTTCTTCCACTTGCCATCTACGGCCACGTCCTTCGCTCGCGCTTGCAGGGTGGCCGAGAGGACACTCGGGACGCTGGCAAGCAGGAAAGTTGCAAAACTAGTTAACTTCATTGTTTCGATCACGTTCGAGTCGTCGAAGAAGGTCATGGATGATCAGCAGTGTCTGGATGGGATATTATATATCTCTGGTCTCCTGGCGGTGTCATCTACCTTACCTATGCAAGGAGACGTCAACAAGCTGCAGGCTCCATGAGATGTAGAGAATGAAGCTATCATTTCGTAACACGAATACTATATTCCAGCGGCCAAATGAACGGAGAGCCACGGTGAGAAAGCATAAACAGTCGAGCCTTTAGAGCTAAGGTACATTACCCACTTTCAGAGAATTGCCGTAACCTTAATATTACTACCCGTTGGAGAAGGAGGCTTGTTTACCTAAACGATCACTACGGCCTGTACATGCTGAACGTACAGACCTAAACATATCGGGTGATTCTTTTACATCCCTGATGGCCTATGATGCATGATTGAGACATTTTCATGATCGTGTGGAAAACATAAAAGGCAAAGGCGGAAATTTGGGACGGTCGCCCCGAAATTCATTGGGGCACCTGGACAGCTTCACGAGATCAAGAGTAAAAGACTTCTTAGCTAGGACGAGATCGACAAGTTTCAGAACATTTATTTACATAATGGTCTCAAGCCCAAGCAAATACTACCGGTCTCTGGTTCACTTAAATCACACAGGCTCCCGATCTTTTTGGCTTCGAAGCCGTTGGCCGCATCATCATCTTCAGATTCTATTTCTCCAAACTATCCACAATGCGCTCTCTCTATTATTATCTCCTGCTCAGTCTTTCCCTCCTAGGAGTCTACGCCGGTATCTTGGAGGAGCACGGGTACACAGTTGAGGAGGACCAGAATGGGCTATACTTTGTCACCACTCCTCACTACTTGGGGGGTAACGCTCCGCTGGATAAGGTCAGAATCAACGTGGAAAAGAAGACCATGACCGTCTATTTGGCCTACAATGGCAAGGAAGAGGAACACGAGGGCAAGTTGTACATGTCCCAAGTACTCGCGGCTCTTTGCGACAAGAAAGGAATCAATCCCGACGACTTGTGGTGGGTCGTTATTGAAGAAGTCGACAAGAACGTCGCTACAAAGACAGCCATGACCCAGTACCGCACCAAGTACGGCCTGCGTTTCAAAGACGAAATCAGAGTCACACCCGATCAGAAAGCGGACTGGGCCATCTTCAACCAAACTCCTTTCTACCGAGCCGTAGACCGCATACTTCCCCGCAAGAGCATTGACCAGATCATTATCGAGAGGGAGGACGGTCAGACAAATATGTATCTCTCAGTTGAGTGATTGCCTGGAGTAAGTTCAATCGTTTTTGACACTATCATTGTCGGTGTGTGTAAGTTTGACTGATCGCGTGTAGTCAGTAACTGAACCTAGGGAACACGATAATGAGTTGGCTAATGACTGAAGGGACTGGAATCAAAGTGGTGCAACTCCAGAAGTTCGTCCCTGTGGTGTCTATGGCACTCGAATGTAGCTGTACAGCTTTTGAGCGAAATTATACATACAACAACTCACTTGCCTCACCGAAGGAAACCAGGAGTAAAGGGGAGTGGCTACCTTACGACACAGAAGTAATGGTGACACCTTGTGGCCGTGAGAGTGATGTTTTCCACGCAGCCTCATGATAGAACGTTGTCTCGAACGGGTTTTCACGTGAGTTTGTGCTGGATTTGACGAACGTCACGCCTAGTTAATCAAATCGGCCCTCGAACAAGATGTTATGAGCCCCATGGCAGACAAAGTCGGACTCGGTCTATCACTGATATTACCGGAAACCTCCCAGTAGCTGCATAGCGCCGGGATAAGAGGGTGCGTCTACTGGTAGTCTCCGGCAGCTGAATGTTAACTCTTTTCTTGATTCGCTACGTTGTTCAGTTTTGCCATCTTATTTTGACAACTCGGCCAGGATTATGGGGCCTGGGCAGAATCTCAAGCTGATGATTCTTAGGCCTCGAAGGTGGGGTCATTGAGGATGGATGCAAAACATTGGGAGGATATGAAAACTATGCCGCCATTTGAAAATCTCGAACAAGTGGCATTCCTAGGCCGGATGAAGTACATCGCACTTCGTGGGCATACTTTGCGCCTTAAGTTATGATATCGGAGCAAACATTGGGGCAACTAGTTCATGCTTGATAAATGAAGGGTCGCTGCGAACCGGAAGAAGTGGGGTTGCAACTTGGCTAGCCAAACTCTCAATGAGTGAAAATTAATATAGGCTTGAATTGAGTTGACTCAAACTAGCTTTGATTAAACGGTCTGTGAGGCTGATCAACTCGGTTTCTTCGGCCATTCCCGCCCCGCCTGAATTCTTGCAAATTACCTATCTTCTCCAATGTAGCCGGACTCACCGATATTCAACAGCCCGTGCTTCTATAGGTGGCACCTTCGCCCACCGCTGTAATAATCCACAGGTGAAAAAGGCTTCGGATGGTGTTAGTCACTTGTTTCGAGATTCCCAAGCCTAGTAATATACTGTGGCAGATAGTATCCGGAGAAGCTTTATAGTTGAGTTGCACTCAATGAGAGATCGGCGAGTTTTCAGGCGTCAATGTCGCTACATACACCTCTACTCGGGCTATGCATATTAATATCAAACATATGTGTCTATGGCAGGTCGGTAACGCCGCCTCTCGGATTTGTTCCTTTCCAATTACCTTACCCTATATCACATCAACGGCCTTTGGGGAATGTGGAGTTCCTGCCAAGGCACTATGTTCATGGCGTTGAGTAAGTAGAGCAAACTGAATCGGTCAATCATATTTCACCGAGAGTTTCTACAACTTTTCCATCCCACACTGTATTTGAGTTGAGTGTGCCTCCATCCTTACGAGATGCTAATTTTCAGTAAAACTGGCGCTGAAAGCCAATTTTATTGCAAGTAAGGCTATCAAGCTGACGGAAACTCCGTCATCGACACAAATGCCCGTCCTAGATATAAGGAATCATCCACGCAAACAGTGCCATGTATTAGACTAGCTATACTCCAGAGGACACTGCACTCCTTCTCAGTCCTCCAGTCACTCCTTAATTGCCCATCATGATCCGACACGCATTGACTTTGCTTCTGCTCTCGACGACCATTACTGGTCAGGTCACCTCTCCCGACAGTCCTTACAACCCCGAGTCGCAGGATGACGGCGATGCATTGGCAGAGAGGGCCGTCAACCCTGGGATTAAACCTCTCCCAAGTGTGAAGCCGGCCCCGGGCTCGAAGCCAGCCCCGAGTGTCGTGCCTCCCCGAAATCAGACGTCATCTCACATTCCATCGACGTTCTCCAAGTCGATCCGCATCACCACTTCCTCTCACTGGAGTAGCTATGCTCCTTCCTCTTCCCGGAAACCGACATGGAGCCCGCTTCCTTCTTCTACCCGGAAGCCTAGTCAACTTCCTTCCTCAACATGGCATAGCAGTGCCCTGAAGCCGTCGTCCACGCCGGCCCCGATCCATGTGAGCAACGGAGAGACGGTTGCCGCAGCTGTCGGCGCGGTTATTATCGGAGGAATCCTGGGTGGCTTTGTCATGGCGCCCTCTGGTGCGCTTCTGCCCATCGCGGCGGGACAGACTGCGGTGTTGTCGGCAGCGGCCGGCTCCGGGGCCGCCGGGTCGATGCCCGAATTCGAACTGGATCCCGTCGAAGACAAGCCTGATCTGCCCGAGTCTGTCCCGGAGGTCAAGCCCACCCAGCAGAAGCCCACTGAGAAGCCCACCGAGAAGCCTGCGACGCCCACGCAGGTCCCCACTCCCTCTCAGTCTTATGACCCGGAGACTGCATCTGAGACCTACGACCCATGGACTTCTTCCGCACCGTGGTCATCCTCGGCCCCCCCATCAGAGTTTCCTTCCTCAACGAGCGCACCCTTCTCCTGGACCTCATCAGAGCCTGCCTCCTCTCTTGTGACCACCTCATCTGTGTGGAGCACTACCATCGCCACTTCAACTTCTTCAGCCGCTCCGACTAGCACTGTCCTCAACTGGATCGACCACGACAAGGTCGCCGCCTTGAACGAGGCAACATCTCTGGGATTGGAGGGCCAACTTCAGCTCCGGTTCAACCCTGAGCTGTTCGTTTCTGGAGGTTGTGATCCCTATCCGGCTGTTGACGCCTTTGGAAGTCTCGGGTAAGCCAACAAACATCTTGAAACAACATAAAAGATAGCATGAGCTAATCATCATTTGCAGAGCTGGTTTGAGACCTACCGGTGGCGGACGAAGCGGATGCGGCAACGGCGGAACCGGACAGGTCTACGTCCGCCGCGGAAGCAGTCAAGGCCGTACCGCTATTATGTACTCATACTACTTCCCCAAGGTCCGCTGGGCCAAGGGCAACGACAACGGCCACACTCACTACTGGGCCAGCATCGTCGTCTGGGTCAACCGCTGGGGCTGCGAGGGCGACACGGACGTATCGGCCGTCTTCCCCGTTGGCGTGTCGTTCACCAGGGACCACACGGTATGGGATACTGCACAGACTGGCGACATCTCCTACTTAGAGTCGACGCACCCCAAGATGCAGATTCACGACAACGCCATGTCGCCTTTCACGGGCGCCGATGGTGACAAGGTCTTTGAACGCACTCTCGTGGCTTGGGACGCCCTTCCTGACGCAGCTGAGCGCGCGCTGTCTCTTGTTGAGTATGAGAAGACCCAGGTGCCGTTCATTGACGCCAACTTCCAGACCTATCTCGATGCTGCGTATAAGGAGAGCTTCTACGGCGCCTTGACTGATCAGCAGGGCTGCGGCGGCACCAACTAGGTGAAGTGAGACTTAGTATTCGGATATCGTGGAAGCTGAAGCTTTGGATGCGAAGTACGCATATAAGAGTAGCTGAAGAGATTAATACTACGAATTAATCAACAACTCTAATCAATTTGCGTTGAGAGTCACGTGCATGTCAGGTTACAATTTGGAGTCTCTCACATTACTTTTACGTTTAAAAGCACCCAGGATATTCAACCTCACCAACCGGATCAAATACCGCACGCGAGGGCCTGACCATTTGATGAATAAACTACTCGGAATGGCTGGAAGACAAGACGACATTCCGGGACCATCAGCCTGCCTCGGGCACGTCACCGAACTCTTCATCCCGCCGGCGAGATCTTGCCTATTTCAACAGAGGTCCCCCATGCTTCAAATCCCGGGGATCCCACTTGGACCGAACCATTGGAGACAGCTATCCATTCTAAACACCCTCTTGACCCTCCATCTTGCCAGGTCTGCAACAAAACTGCGAAACACAGCCCATCCAATGCTATCTTGGTCGCTAATCTGGCAGAGCCCGCGTTCCGGCTGTCCGTAAAAGGCAAGGTGGAGCAGTGACAACGTCAAGCGCGGGCCGGATTTGCTTCGAAAATGCACGAAATGCGGGGAAAGATGGGAAAGATGGGGATGAGGGTTGGCCAGCGTTCCCGCCGGTCAAGCCTGATTCGGTAATTTTCCGCCGGCTAGTTGCCTTATGGGTTTCCCGCGGGTTATATTCCCTTTCACGAGATGCTCGTGGATACGTGAGGACGCCACTCTTGGGCGACGAAATTCCCCAATGAGGGACCTGGAGATGTGGATGACGGAGGGTATATAAGGGGATTCAGAACTCTTGAGCGATGACTGCGATCCTGCGAGTTTGTTTTTATGTCTCTTTCACTTTCTCAAAGTGCTGTATCCTGATCACGAACACTCCATATTTCAACCCGCCCGCATTATAGACGCCATAACTAGTAGTTATCTCTGTTGAAACTCTGTCGAATCTTCACAATGCCTCACGCTGAATCACCTACGCCTGATGCCCCTCCTACCATCAATGGTGTCCAACTCCACGTCAACGACGACCTCCTCTCCGCCAACGAAGTCGAACCCCTCATTCAATCCCACCTCACAGAAGACTTCGATGTCCTCCGCCAACGGTACCGTCAACACGGCTACCTTCTCATCAAGGGCCTCATCCCCCGCGAAGACGTGCTCTCCGCACGCGAATCATACTTCAACTCCCTCGCCCCTTCAGGCGTGATCAAGCCCGGCACGTCTCCGCGAGAAGGCATCTTCGACGACGCAAAGTCAGCCGCGGATTACCCAGGCATCGGCGCCGGCAGTGTCAAGAACGCGGCGCCAGGCGAGACCGACCGCTCCGAGATCTTCACCGAGGCGGCGCTCAAGGCGCATACCGAGGATTGGTATGCCGGCTCCGAGGACGGCTCAGTCCGGGGCTTCTGCAACCACCCGGTCCTCCGCAACTTCGTCGCCGAGTTCACGGGCTGGGGTGACGAAAACACCCTCACCGTAAAGCGCACGCTCCTCCGCAACAACACCCCAGGCAACAAGGCCATTGGCGTGCACTATGACCAGTCCTTCATGCGCTACGGCGAGCCGACGTCCGTGACGGCATGGGTGCCGATCGGAGACGTCCGGCTCGAGGGCGGCGGGTTGATTTACATGCAGGACGGCGAGAAGCTTGGCGAAGAGATTGAAAACGAGTTTACAACGAAGGCAAAGGCAGCCGGGATGAGCGATGAGGAGACAAAAAATGCGTTCAATGCGAATATGATGAGCACGGGATTCTTGTGTGATGGGCCGGCGGACTTTGGACGGCGGTATGGGAAGAAGTGGCTGGTAAGCGCGTACGAGGCCGGCGATGTTGTCTTCCATTCGGCACACATGGTATGTTTCTTCCGCATTTGCATCAGGAAGTATGTTTGCAGATTGCTGACTACGATACTAGATTCATGCTTCGACCAAGAATTACGACCCTGAGGGGCGCATCCGACTTGGAACGGATCTGCGCTTTGTCGACAAGCGCCGCCCATGGGATACTGTAAGTCATGTTCTGCCTGCTTGCGATGCTTTACTTGAAGAACGTCTCTAATAAACAGCAGCGTTGGGATAAGCATTACAGCTTCAACGATGGCGTCTGATCCGACCGGGGCCATTGCGCGTGACGCCGAGAACGTTCCGACGCACGCAACCACGATGCAAAAATGTGTGAAGAGAAGAGATAGAGTCGACAATGACCATGACACATAGCCAATGAAATTGAATCATCTTGATTGAAAGCTATCAAGTTGTGACCATTGCTCCTTCAAAGTCTTTACCAACGCCCCTGTCTTCCATTGGACGATGGTCCTTACTTGTGCGAGATACTTGATTGTATGTTCTCGTTCGAGGGGATGTCTTATCAAATGGCCGCCTGAGAGAAGTGTTAGGGTCACGGGGCTAGCAGATATATCGTATCGACTGACTTACACAAAGACAGCATGTGTGCGGGCAAGTAGTATGCGTTGACAGCCTCATTTGACCGGGCCAAGCCCATGAGCATACATAAATAGAACGTGATTTCACGCTGTGTGATGTTTAGTCGAGTGCATGCGTTTCTTTCGACTGCAACTCACCTCGCTGTCCATCCTCTTCTTCGTTCCCTCAAATCCTGCTGTCGGATTTGAGCTGTTGTAATCCTGGAAGGAAAATATCGCTTTCGAAGCGTAGTAGTACCCGAGTGCAACGGTGCCTGCATGGGCCTTGCTGTCAGTGACTCTCCTACTCCATAAAGTCAAGAGGAACAGAGCAGCGTTTGTTATGTGAAGGTTCATACCTGGATCTGCGGCCATCCACAGGGTCGGGAACGGTCTTCCTTTGGCCACATCCGCCCGTTCATAGAAAAGGGGCTGGAAAGATAGTGGCTTCTCTTTAAACCACACGTCGACGTCATTCTGCAACTCCTCCCAAGTCTCTGAGCTGCTTGTGCTGAATCCCGATCCGTCCTCCGGGAAGAAGAGTTTCAGCACTTTCGCAAACAGATAGACGATTCGGTTCGCGTGCGCTGTGTCGTCGTTGCTTCTGAACGTAGAAGACCTCTCAAAGTTTTCTAGGCAAATCTCGATTGGCGTCCTGCGAACTAGGAACACATAGAGTGCTTGTCGTAGGTGGACCCAGCTCGCGGCCTCAGCCAGCCCGCCTTGCGTCACGAAACGGGCAATGGCGTCGTGATTGAGCAGGTTCCTCGTGCCTCGAAGGTGATGGTAGTGGGAGTCTGTCTCGTTGTCGTACTCTTCGTAGAGCCGCATGATCACGACAGCCGTCAGCAGAATCGAGTCCCATGTCTCTGGGGGTTGGGAGAAAGCTTCGATGAGCAGTTCGATGCAGCGATTGTGGTAGTACGTGCTCTCCAAGTCCGACTTTTCGCTTGTGTCGTCGTTCCCCTGCGTATCGAAACGGCTGGCTAGTGCGAAGATGCCGTTGAGCAAGATTGGCTTGCGAAGGGCGAGACGGGGGACGTCAAGGGTGAAGGGGCGAGCATCGTGACACGCATCAATCTGGGATCATTAGATGCTGTTGTATCCTCGCCAAAAAGGACGGGAATGGTGTAAGAGAACACTCACTGAAGGCGCTATTCTCAAGATATACGTGCGAAACAAGAAGGCCTGGCGTCCGGTAAATCCGCAATGCTCGGGGTCCACGGGCTGAATACGGAATTCTGCATCCGAAATGAGACTCTCAGCACGCTCCGAGGCAATCTGGTGTGAAGACCCGGCCTGCGTTGACGGCGAGTCCCCTAAGAGATATGAAATCTGGAGCTGTGGCTGGACCTCTCCAGATTGCCACTGTACGCTATCCGAAGTGGTGCCATCTCGCGCCGAGTCGAGATACCCGGGGCTTGATGTGAGGCTATCCCGGTGTTGTTGGCTTTCCTGCGGCGGCCCGCTGTTCAACACAAAGCCGATGGGCGCACTACCATCGCCGTGAGATCCATGTCCGGTGAATCGTTGTGCCGGGGCCTCGGCCCGGAACGCGTGCGTTGCTGGCGGTGAGTAGCCGAAGTTGAGCTGTCCTTCATATGGCGTCAAGCCATGCGGGGATGGGTGAGATGTAAAGCTGTTACTTCTGTCGCCCGCTGTACGAACGGACTGGACGGCCGGTGATGAGGATGCCTCGGATGCTGCGTCGTCTACACGACTAACTTCGCTCTTGCGTCGGGCTGGACAGAGAGAGTAAGTTCCTGACCTGCATGGAGGGACTGAGTGATCGGCAAATGAACAAAAACGAGGCGGGGTGCGAGAGAAAAAAGCTGAAAGGATCACCTCGGAGAGGAGGGGGCTAGCAGAAGACCCGGAGGGCCCGACGGGAAGAGTGGGCGCGGTAAAGCATCATCTGAGAAAGGAAGGTCAAGTCAAACCTCGGTGATCCGCCTTCTGAACTCTGTCCCCGGAGAGAGCTGCCTTTCTGGAGCTACCCGGCGCATGCTTAAAGCGTAACGTCGTGTCAAAGTGACATTCGAGATCGGCCTCGAAGCAGGCGCCGCAACCCGTCGCGCCGGGTTGAACAACACATTTACGGTGACGCCGCCGGCAGGCGTCACAGCAGCGTCGGGGCTTCATATACGGTCCCGGCCGCCGGAGGAGGGGACCGGAGCCTTATGTTTACTCGTATCCTCTCTCGCCCGCCGAGGTCTACGCAAAAGTCCGAGTGTCATCCGACTGTGAGCCCATCTGTTCGGGTATCTCCTAGGTGTATTGCGGTGTGTGACTGTGCCCTTGTTTCTGTTGACGTTTCTCTCTGCCTTTACCTCGGAGAGTAATCAAATCGACTCTGAATGGGCCGTTGGCGGTGGGTTTGCTTGCCGGAATGGGAGCGGGTGAGCAGACGACCGTACGATTTTGCGGGGGTGGAATGAAGAGAGTTGAATCCCGCGGGATACATGGCCTTTTGAAGACATGGGGAGCGCTTGGTCGGGGCTCGGGATCGACGCTAGGCGGGGGATAAATTGCGGGGTGAGCCCCCCTTCAAGGGAAGAAGTGTTTGTTGTCGAAACCATGACTTGTTTTGTGTCACGTTATTCCCTTCGTCGCCCAATGGTCCTGTAGTTGAGCAGGGTATCCATATCAATCAGAGTCTCCCCAGTTCTTGGTGTAAGTCGGAGTAGGTTGGCCAAGTGAAGTTATCATCGTGAAAAAGTCTCCGTTGATGTCGACGACCTGACGGAGAGAACAGCTCTGCAGCTGGGGGATGCATCGAGTCATGTTCAACAGAAGGCCAACGAGAACCATTCAAGGTTCAATACCGGCTGCTGGGAAGAGATACTATGGAGGTACTTATAAGGCCACCACGAAGGAGCTTTCCGAGAGTCCGGTCAGAATCCCGCCCGATCTCCGGCCAGGCCATCGGGCTCTGAGCCAGCGCCCGACAACAGGGCACCGGTCAAGACAATTTAGACCGCAATCGCCGCCGTTTGCCTATATTAGGGAACTCATGTCGCCATCCTAAGTGTGACATCTCGATGAGGTCTATTTCTCCGATGGCTAATAGTGTCTATTAGGGACTTCAGCCGCCCACACTCAGCCCGTGACAAAACTAGAGCGACTTCTCAACTCATCACCCCTTTCGAGTGAGCCGGTTTCAGTAGTTCCTAGCCTAACCAAGATTCTCGTGCTATGCCCGGAAGGATAGATGTGGGACGTCCGAAGTATCTTTCTCGTCAAGGCACATCCACCCATCGCATTCGATTCGCTCTCTATCGCAAGCATACGTCAACAATCATAAACAGCATCGTAGCGATTACTCCATACCAGAGGCCCTGCGCCGCCCTAAGTAGCATCACGGCGGCCTCAAACATAGTCCGGTGAACATCGGGGGATTCCGAACCTTAAGCCGAAGCCGACGCGATTCAAGTAGCCTAAACATCTACCACAACATCGAGGCACAAGCTCTGGCATCGGCCGGCAACTCATAGTCATTCAACTCACTCATTGCCTGCCAACATGATTGCGTTGATTCAAGGTGATATTGCGAACAGATGTCAGCTGTCTCATTTTGCTACACGAAACACTGCCTACGACACTCAAGAGCTAGATCTATGATTTATCTGACCAGATCCATCGCCGATGATGGCAGAAGGTAACTAGACGAGATGTCTTTGATCATCGTAAGCATCGTGAAGAGGCACTAGCGCACCGTGAACGCACGCCTCAGTACAAGGAATTGAATTGTATTCAATTCGAAATCCGATGAGGGATGTTGGTAAAGTGATCATATCTCATTGCATCTGACATAAAGGTGAGTCGTAAGTTAACTGAGAGTATCGAGACATCTCATGCAAAAATCGATCCATGAAGTCTCTATACTCAATGACAATTCGATGAGCTCTATCTGGTGATGATGAATCATGGCAGATTCATCGACAACATGGTACCGAGGTGCAGAGCTCACCCCAACGAAACCTGGAGTCCAAGTAACCTTCATGGCCCTGGTGAGAGATGGTCATCGATTCCCTCAATATTCGATATCATGCTTTCAAGAGTAGCTCGGAAGACAAGTCCCTAGTTGAGGTCAAAGTTATGACCGAGTTGAGGTCTATGACAGAGCCGCCCTTCACAGTGAGATCTGATGAGCATGCCATCAGGATGTCACCGGTGAAGGGCAACTCACCTCACAATCCTTACTCAAAGTAGTGGTCGATCAACGGAACCCCCTATGTAACCTAGCTTCCAATGACTTGAACAATGTGCAAATGAACCGCTCGAGATGGCCCGTAAGGTTTGCAATTTCATCCCGCTTCTTGTTATTAATCTTCCTCAGCTCAGTTTACAAAAGTTATCACGGTCTCCCTGCCGCTTTGGCTCACACTCATGTGATCGGAAGGACATGACTAACGGAATGTCACTGATTGGTCAACCTTTGAGGGAGCACAGAGCTCTTATGTAATCTTCTTTTTGGGACCAAGCTAACCTTGATGAGGAGTGGCGTACTCTCAGTACGTACCTGATCTGAGAACCCAGCGGCCCAGATCTGGTTTTCGCTGCGATCTTTCCTGATTTCGAGATCACCCAGTGCTGTGTGTCTAAGCATTCCTTCGCCCAACTGCACGATCAAGAAGAGTGTCATTTCCAGCCCAACTTGATCCTCATGTCTTTGGCACCTTATGCCTCCTTCCTTGACGGAAAAAATTGCAGCTATCTGCATGGTAGCGGAAGAGGGCGAGACATCATTGCAGTTAACATGGAACCGGCGCCGGTCTCCGAGCATTCGGTCACGGGTAAGCACATGGCCCCATGACAAGACGGCTCTCGGATCCGAAGACTCGCGGCGACACGCAATTGACCCGGGTTAACTTGCTGGTTCTGCTCCATCTCCGGGTCCGATTGCCCTCTACTCGGATGAGTTTTGAGTCACTCGAAGCCACTCCGGCACCGGACACAGTTGTATGACCTGTAGGCTGTAGCCCAAGGCCAAGACGCAAGGGCTGAAATTACACTACGTTGTAGAAACGGTGACCAGTGGCCAAGGTGCAGCCAAGAAGCCAGGGCCAAGTCAACTGACGCGTCTCTAACCTCGCACCGGGCGGTCTGAGGCCTGGGCACCTTTCAGGGCATGACACCTGGCCTCGTCACAGCGAGAGAAGCAGAGATTGCAGTCAAAGTCAAGACACGAAATCGAGCACACTCGAAGCAGCGACCAACCGCAGCCACGGAGGAGAAGGAGTTGGATCTGACTTATCCGCTATCTGTCGCTGTCGGCTATCTCTAGTCCTGCGGCCTGAGCTTCGGAATAGAGCGGGAGCATTCAGCCCCATGGGGTAAGCGGGAACGCCCATCACTGGGTGGTAGGCAATGCGACTATGGGAAGAACCGGGTACTCTATATGCAGTGACGTTCTTTTCGCGGGGTCTAAGTGATGCGGGCAAACGGTTTGAGATTTGGGGGGAAAGGGGGGATATATGCATTGCCGGTAGTGGTGATGACTTGTTTATCCTCGGCGCGAAGAGGTTACGGAGAGGGTGTTAATGATTGGACTTTGGGTTGCTAGCGGTGATACGCAACGAGGTCACCATCGTCAGCCAAGCCCACCACAGGTCACCTTGAGTGAATGACTGAGAGGAGGGGATGAGAGTCATGATGAACAGACTACAGCAAGCCTGAGCAGTGTTCAAGTTAAACATCCGAAGTATCTGACCTATTGCCGTCTTCCGAGAGTCTCCAGTCAACATCGGTGTCCGAGTTTCGCGGTACGAAGATTGGGTTTACGGTTTACGCAGTACCTTACACTACGAGCATGAAGTGCAAAGTCCCACCGGCACAGTCCTCCGTCCGCCCAGGAGCCCCTCCTCGGCCCCGACAGCCACGTTCAAACACGGCTTTCATTCTCATTAATCGCCTTGATGTAAGTAGGTACTTAGGGATTACAGAATGAGTGATGCTGAGGCTGAGACTGGCTGTGTGACTCGCTTCCGCATTTGGCCGAAGCAAGTTCCCGCCCCGCTGCCCTAAAAATTTCTAGATCCCGAAGACGGCACAGTTAGGGACAGCCAGTCGGGCCAGGTCTTTCAAGGTTCCTCTTCCCCTTTCCCCCTGAGGCTTGGGGCCCTGCTGCACCCGGCTCCCTCAAGGTTGCGAAGAGAACAGCGACTGGATGTCACTACTCATATGTAGTTGGGTGTGGAAGTACTTGACACCACAGCGAGCCCCCACCATTACCTCAAGGTACCCAAATTGACGACCTCGAGGTACTAAGGTACCTTGATCCCCAGTGACCTCGAAAGATTGACTCGTGTGATTCCATCTCCATCTCCTTATTCTCATAACTCCATCCTCTTACGATTCCAATCAAACTAGACACCACATCAAATCATACCAAATCGAGACCGACAGCAAGTAGACAGTAACGAAGACAAGTTCCAATCGATCCAACGAAAGGACTCCAGTTCCCCCCGTAGAAAGACAACCATAGCAAAAGGTCGTTCTCGCCCACGATGAACTGCCCTTCGCGCAACGACGACATCACGCTGGAGCATCCAGACTGGAACCAGAACCCGCCCTTCTTGTCTGCCGACCTCACCACTTGTGAGGATCTGAACGGCATTGCCAACGCCCGCGAGCAACGCAGGGCCCGGGGCGGCGCCGGCGATGGATCCGACGGCCGGGGTGACGACATGAATTACCAGACGTTGCCACGTCTGCAGCCCGATCGGAGGCTACGCGTTTCGGGAGGGTGGAAACACGGTGAGTCTTGAGTTCCTATGAAGAAATCCTGAACATTATTGTTCAACGACGTTGGGGGGTGTTACGAGTGCGATGATGCGGAGACTGGGACCAACGACATCAGGGTTTCCTCTCTCCCATTACTCACCTCACTCACCTCACTCACCACTCTCGGTGTGCATGCGGCATCGGCCGGCATCTTCAACGATATTTAACCACACGCAACATTCTTAAACGCATACTAATTCTCCCCAGGTTTCCATCCCCGAAACAAAAAGGTGCATGGTGGTGATGACCATACACCTCTCCTTTGGGCCTCTGCGCCCGCCCGCTCCGCCCTCTGGGGCTGGGTGAGCTGGATCATGTCCGTCATTGGCTGCTCAGCCATCATCTCTGCCCTCAAGAGCCCCGAGGCTGTCGCGTCTTTCCTTGTCGCGACCAAAGAAACTACTCATTGTAAGTTGATCTTTCTTCATCACAGTCTCTCGAAAGACGGGGCCTCATCAACCCATTGCGCACATGTATCAAGATACGAATCTCATTCCATCTCATCTCATCCCATTGCGCCTCATCTCACTTAGATTCCCCTTACTCCTTCTTATTCACCACCAATGCCTCAATACAATGTAAGCTGACAATATCCCAAGCCATCACCAAGCGCCACGCCCACACCCACGACCACGACCGCATTACCGCCCGCTCAACCTGCCCGACCGGCGGCCTCGGCGACGAAGATGCCTACAACACGCCTCTCCACGTTGGCGCCCTCTTCATCATCCTCGCAACCTCCTTCCTCGCCTGCGCCTTCCCGCTCATCGCCAAGAGTATTCCCGCCATCCGAATCCCTCGCCCCTTCTTCTTCGCTGTCCGCCACTTCGGTACCGGCGTCCTCCTCGCCACCGCCTTCGTTCACCTCCTCCCGACGGCCTTCACACTTCTCGGCAACCCATGCTTGAGCTCCTTCTGGGTCGAGGATTACCCCGCCATGCCGGGCGCCATCGCCCTGGCCGGCATCTTCCTCGTCACCATCATCGAGATGGTCTTCTCCCCTGCCCGCCAGATGTGCTGCCGACCCAATGATGCCGTACTCGCCCCGAACCAACCCGAGGCTGGCGATGAAACCGATCAGGGGCAGCAACAGCAGCGCGTTGAGAAGCGCGTCATCGTTGACGAGGAGAACCGCGCCGTGCAAGTCAACTCCGACGGCGGCATCGTCCTGACCCCCGCACAGCAGCACCAAAAGGACATCCTCCAGTGCATGATGCTCGAAGTCGGTATCCTCTTCCACTCCGTCTTCATCGGCATGACCCTCTCCGTCTCCGTCGGCCACGAGTTCGTCATCCTCCTCATCGCAATCGCCTTCCACCAGACCTTTGAAGGTCTCGCCCTCGGCTCCCGCATCGCAAACATTGACTGGCCCCAGGGCAGCCTTCAGCCCTGGATGATGGCCCTTGCCTACGGCTGCACCACGCCCATCGGCCAGGCCATCGGTCTCGCGACTCACCGACTCTACAGCCCGGACTCGGAGTTTGGCCTCATCCTCGTCGGCACCATGAATGCCATCTCCTCTGGATTGCTCGTCTTTGCCGCATTGATTGAGCTTCTGGCTGAGGATTTCCTTTCCGACGAGAGCTGGCGTGTCCTGAGGGGCTCGATGCGCGTCTGGGCTTGCGTGCTCGTCTTCTTTGGCGCCTTTGGCATGAGTCTTGTCGGAGCGTGGGCCTAGGTGGATCCCCCGAGGCTAAGGGGGGGCAGTCTAATTCGATGGTGATGCCGGGTTCCTGCCTGGTGGTCTTCTGTTGGCTCGTCTGTGACCCTCTTGCACCTGGAAAGACGCGGTGAGGTGTCTGATTCAGAGTTAAGATGGCGACGCTGCGTAAGGGGCTGGCGCGAGCCGACCCCTTACCTCGTTGCCTCGATACCAAGTTTCTATTCAACAGCTGGGTTTGTGCTTATGTACAACAACCTCTGTCATCTGTTTGTATGGATCTTGAAAATTGGTGTATCTCGTTCTTTGAAGACTGCCGCTTGATGTTGGTCAGAGTGCTTTGTTATTTGCTTTACGTTTGGTTTCGTCTATGAAGCCGTCCGCTCGTTCAAAGCAGTATTAGCGCCATACGTTCCTTAGATTAAAGAAAATTTAGAAAATGATTTGTGGATAAGACTGTTTCCCAAGTGCCGATCGAAGCAGATGACCGTACAGCACTGTCTATGCCGAGTCTCTATGATTGTCACCCAATACTCTCACTCTCTCTTTGCCTCTCTCTCTCCCTCCCTCCCTTCTTTCTCTATCGTTTACTGTCCTGGATCATCTAGGCCTTATTCATCTCGTATTCCACACGATCCTCAACTCACAAACGTAAAGTCACTCGGTGAAGTTCCCTCACTCACAGTCGGACTAGGCGCGACCCCACTATCATAACTCCCCCTTCTCCTGGCCTTGTGCCTCTTGCCCCTCGTCTCGACCCCTCCTGGCAATGGCACACCCCCAACAACCTCGATATCACTGTTTCCGCCGCGAGCAGCAGAAGCCGTGGTAACAGCATGCCAAGCCCTCGTCTCCTCCGCAAGTCTAGCCTCCTGATCATGCCTCTCTCTCTCCTCCCTGAACCGCATTCCCAGCGCCTCCTCCGTCTGACTGAGATACGGGAATTTCTGCTTCTGTCTCAGCGGTAGCGGAGAGGAAGGCGGCGTGGGCATGCTCTTGCGCTCGGTAGCCGTGCTCCAGCCCGCGGTGTCGCGGGCAATCATGGCCGTGTGTAAGGCGCAGCATACCGATCCGGGGCCACCGGCTCCGAGTTGCACACCGGTTCCAACTCCGCGCGGGGAAGGGCACCCGGGAACGACGCAGGCGTGGACCGCGTCGCAAAAACTCCCATTTGATCTCGCGGCGCCATGACATCCGGCAGCCCGGCATTCGTGGCTCATACAGAACTGGCTCGCGGAGACGAGGAGCGGATCGTCGGCGCGCGGAGTTGGGCAGGACGGGTGCAGGCAGGCGTGGAGTGCGCAGCGGCGGCTAGACGGTTTGGAAGGGTGAGGACACTCTGGACTTGCTGCGCACTTGTGCGCTACGCAGAAGCTCGGTTGGTGTGGCGGTTTCGAGGGGTTCGCGAGGTCTGCTGCTGGTTGGGGGCAGGTTTGGGCATGGCAGGTGTCTGGTGAGCGAGCGAGAGAGGTTTTTGTTAGCGAGCTTTTGCGTGAAAGAGGGTAAACCTGAGTATGTCATCTTACGGCTGGCACAGTAGAGTCTTGATGCATCTGTTGCGTTGTCTTTGCGCTCTCGACATGGCGGATATGTACACTCGTGCTGGGGGCAGAAGTGGACGCCGCCGCTGACGACGGCTCCGCAGGCTGTCGCGTTGCAAGCTGTCGGTAAATCTGAGGCGTTTGCCATGTGAGTTTTCCCGTGCTTTAAATGTAATGACTAGACTTAAGGCCCGGTAGATGAAGACTCACGGAACCAGCAAACTTCCTCGTGTGTTCCACCGGGCGAGACGACTCTCAGCGAGTCACACCCCGCGGTCTTGCAGAGCCGGTGATCTCTGCACCAGTTGCCGCCGTCGATTACGCTGTTGCAGTCCTTGTCGGTGCAGCTGTGACTCGGGCAGTAGAGGCCGTCGCCGACGCGCGGGTGACCGCAAGCGGGAATAAGGCAAATAGGCGTGTGGAAGCTGCACATCTGGGAGTTGGTGGCCCGCTTATTGTGGCATCCGTAGCTTGCGCAAGTATCTGCATTGCCAGAGAAGCGGTTGAATCAGCATCAGGGTCGATGGGTAATGCGACATGAAGGATCAGGAAGTCACGAGAAACGTACGGCTTTGGCAATATGGCCAGTCCTGGTTTGCGTCGGCGAAGATGCGCTGGTTGGTACAGCCCTGGCAGTGGCAGCGGCCGTCTTCTCCCAGATGAACATGATCAGTACCACATACAGACAGTCGAAGAGATGATTGGGTCAAGGCAATGCAACGTACGATCTTCGCAGTACTTGGATAAACCAGGCTGTTTGGGGTTTGTACACATCTTCTCACCAGTACGTGACCGGCAGGCATCTCGAGATGACGTTAGACTGGGCTCTTCAGCAGGCTGCGGAGACTGAACCCACGATCTTTGCAAAAGATGGAGAGAATGCGCTTAGCTTTGGCCGGTGCCTCGCATTTCAAGACCTTATGAACGCAGCCAGAGTAGACGCAGTGCGGCCGGGGCGGCGGAGGCGTGGGCTGTTTGGCGCGGCAGCTGAAGAACATGATGGTTTGCAACTATGTGGTTATAGGAAATGATTGCAACTGGGCCGGTGAATGAACCTTGATGGAGTATTGGAAGTTTCTTGGTTTATCATAGGGAATGTACAAATTGGACGATGTCGCGTGGGCAATTAAAGTGACTTGATATAAGAAATCTTGAAGAGGATGAGTGAGATGAACGCTAGGCATCCAACATCACCACCAGAAAGACCAGCGCTTGTTGAACAGTGCAATCATTATCTCTCTCTGCGTACAGTCGAGCTTTGAGGTTCCAAGGACTTATTGATGAGAGAAGGAAACCGTTGTTCGATCACGATAATACCCCTGGTGATGGTTCATGTGAGAGCTGAATGCGAGACACAGCTCCTTGGAGACGGAAGAGAATTGTGCAGGGGAGGTCGAGCGAAGTGAGAGTAAGACTGTGAGTTGAAAAGCGATAAAGGAGAGTAAGAGTTTACTCTTCAGCGTATATCAAGTCCGTCTCTCTTAGTAATTCCGACACTCCTTGAGATGACCAGAGAGGTGCATGGACTGTGTCTCAAGAGCGGCATTACATAAGAGAGACAGTATTCCACAACGATCGATCAACATGTTCGACTGAGAGAAGATGACCTGAGACTTCAGACTGAAGATTTCCATAACTGAAAGAAGAAGCACTTTTCAGTTGCTTCAACTAGGACAAGGAAACGGTTCTTGCGGGGCACTGCATGCAGGCAGTCGGGCCAGGTGAAGTTTTCTTAAGCATCGGATGGAAATGAATGAGTGTATACTGGTTAGCTGGCTCGACTTATTGGACCCACGAAGTCGAACTCTCGGCTGCTAGTAGTCTCATGAGTTTCATAAAGCACTCAATGATTGATGAGCTTGAGTTGAAGCGGTGGTGAGAGTGGGTGGCGGTTCCCAAAATCAGGGAAGGAGGGTTTGCCCCACCAGCCACGCTTCTGCAGGTCCACATCAGTACGTACCGGAGGCTTTACCCAGTACGGCTAGAGGGCTCCAGCCACCTCGGCCTAAAGCACATTAAGGTGCACCTTGACGGCCCCTGCATTGCAACGTGCCCCTCTTTCCCACCAGCCACAATCATCGCGAAATCAAGTTTCCCATCCTGGCGGGCGGCAAGGACGGAGATCATCGCCATCGCCAACCAGTTGCCGTTCACCGGCTTTCCTCGTCATCAGGGTTTCCCGAGGACCTGACAGGCTGGTGACCTTGCAGGCTGGCGAAAGCATCACTGCCACCACCAGCGTCATCCTCTCTTGCTTGTTTTCCCTGCCATAGTTTCCTATCGCTCACATCCCTCTCTGGCGCATACGAGACAGCTTCACCCGCTCCTAAAACCTGCCAAAACACCATAACACAGCGTCTTTGATCACGGACAATGCCCTCGATCCGGCTTTGACGACTCAGCAGTACCACACAACAGTTCCTGCGGCATTGAAACATCTTGCGACAATCGCTCACCTTTACAATGACCGACGAGGAACAAGGCATCCAGCGCCCGGCGCAAACCTACCAGACCCCCGACTGGGAGACTCCCACGGCCAATAAGCGTCGCTCGTTCTTTGATCGCTTCGCTCCAGCGACGACTGGCCACCAACGCGACAATAGCACCACTGCTGCTCCCACGGCGACGAACGAAGGTGGCTTCGCGAAAGAGGATACCCAACGCTCAGATGATCACGCCCATCTGACCGCTCCTACCACCGGCGCGGCGGCCGCTACAGGCGCAACGACAGCATCCAAGGCCCATCCCTCCCTAGCAGCTCGCTTCGATGCTCTCCTCCCGCCACAAAAGACCTACTTTGGCCTTTCTCGAAAGCGATTCCTTCTCTTCGTTGTCTTGCCCCTAGCGGTCTTGCTCCTGCTCATCCTCCCTCTAGCCCTCGGCCTCGGTCTCTCTAAGCGTGGCGGAGGAAAGCAAGATTTACCGCTTCCGAACAACCAAGACGTTCACACGGGTGATCTCACGTACTATGCTCCCGGGCTCGGCGCCTGCGGAAAGACGAGCAGCGACAGCGACATGATTGTCTCGGTTTCGCACTATCTGTGGGACGACGTGCAGAGCGGCGGCAATCCGAACAATAACCCGCTATGCGGCAAGAAGATCCGCGTCCGGCGTGATGGCGAGGGATCGGTGGATGTCACCGTTGTGGATCGATGCACCGGCTGCGCGCCAACCGATCTCGATTTAAGCCCGGCGGTTTTCAACAAATTGGCCAATAAGGACGAAGGCAGGGTCACTGGCACTTGGAGTTGGTTGGACTGAGCAGGTCTGGACGAATGCCTGAACCGCAAGTTGGATGGGAGTACTGCATAAGGAACATCCCGCCGGCCGGGAACTTGACGAGACATGCGAATAGTACGACTACGAGCCGAAGACGGAAAGATGTTGCGCGATGTTTGGAATTGCTTCGATACCCCTGTTGTTTTGTTCTTCATGCCTTTCATAGATACCATTGCCCTTTGAGGCACGCGAATACGAATACTTCTTACAAACTTCATGACTCCCTGGCACAGCGCAGCGAATCGGCGGACATAGTTCCGTCTATCGACCATCCCCAATGGCGACACCAACGACTGCACAACGATCTGGGTCATGGTATGTTATCGAGAATAATCAGTATCATTGAGCACAGATACTCGGCCAGACTGAGTGCCGGCCCTCCTAGCATGTCGATAACTACAATGTAACGCCGTGAAAGCAGTCCCAGGGTATCCCCAAACCATGAACCCAACATAGACGCCAGTAAGCCAACCCCGAACCATTGCCTATCCCGCAGAGAGACTGCCTAACGTCAGTTCTCACTTGGTCAACTCGCTGCGCCCTGACTCCGGTCTCGCTCCTCCGAAGCAAGCAGACCATGTCCCACGGTAGAGTTTGTCGCTCCTGACCTACGCATGAACCGACTCTGACGTTGATATTCCCAATCGATCATGCCGTGATCGGTCTCCAAAGGCGAAAGCTGGGGCGCTGGACTTAATCCCATGCTACTCTCCCCGTCACCAACGCTATACTCTGCCACCAAAGACACCCTCTTCACGCTCTTCTCTTCCCCGATAGCTGAGCTCTCAGGTTCGTCGTCATCGTGCTCCTCCAAAATGTGCCGCCTACTTGCGGTCGACCTCAAAACGCGCGCCGGCTTCTGGAGCTCGAGGTCACTAGCGCTGAGCCAGCTCCCAAACTCCTCAAAGGTATGCCTCCTCGAGTTCGGCACCCCCGCAGGCGCAGGCCCCCGGTGTGTGCTGTGAACGGTGACACCCGACGACATGTTCGCATCCTGCTTCGTCCGGTGCCCCGTTGCCTGATTAGACGGTGTCGGAAGCACGCCCGCAGTCTTGAGGTTTCGCAGAAATGGGAACCACTCCCTCAGCAGCGGCCAAACAAGCGGCAGGTTCGATACGTAGACGGCCACGCTCGCTTCACGGATGTACCACAGCATGTACGTAGGGCTGTACGGGTCGGTCAGGTTGAAGATCTTGGTCAGCAGCGCCGCGACGATGACGCAGATGCCAAGGCTGAAGACGAATAAGAGAACGACCTTTTGCTTCCAGGGCACCTTCATACGAAAGACGAGCGGAAGGGGAATCATTAGCATCAGCATGTCGGAAGAGATGTTGAACCAGCCCTGGAGGATGGCGTAGTTCTCATACGTCGTGCATTGCGGGTCGGGTGGCGGCATAGCCCAGTAGCCGCTGAAGGGACGGCAGGCGGCGAACATTGTTATCTGCGTCGCGGTCCATCCAAGAGCGACGTACATTGCTAGCCAACGCACGAGGCGCTGAGCGGCGAGGTTGAGGGTGAGGCGGGTGTAGAGGATCAGTACGCAGGCTTTGAGGACATAGATGAGGTTCAACATCGCCTGCTCCGAGACGAGGACAATCTTGGAGCCGTGAATGCGGTCTTCGATCTCGGCTTGGGTAAAGGTTCCTTCTAGTTCTGGAGGGTAGAGGTTCGAGCCGCCTCCGTCGGTGATAATGTTGAGGAGGGCTACAAGGACGGTGAAGAGCACCTAACACGCGATAAGGGGTCAGTTTCCGATTGTTTAGTTTCTTGAGAGGATACTACCCGCGGTCGAACATACTGCTGCGAGAATCTGGAGATAGTCGTCCGCTTCAAAGTTAGAGACACCACCTAACCTCTTTGCTCTTCCATACCTATCAAGGAAATATGTTAGCTTGGCTCCTTTCCGACCGCTGACAGGGGCCTATTGAACGAACATTCTGAGGAAGATGAAGGCCATCCCTATTGAATAGTGTATCCAACTCTGACGCTCGAGACTGGCGCCGAAGCTCTCGTTACCGGATACCATCGTGATGTATGACTGCCTTCACTATGCCCTAGTTGCCAAAGATGTAATTGCGCCGACGATCCCAGGTGAAACTTCTTGGTGACGATCTCTCAACGGCCTATGGCATTGTTCTTTCCCAAACCAATTTCGATGCCGTAAGTCTGATTCAGAAGTGATCGTGCCAAGGACATGGGTGATGTGCAAAGATCTGGATGTACTCCCACGACAAGATTGATATGGGATATGCCACAACGATATGGGCTTCCCAACGAACTCACTAACGACACCAAAAAACCTCAAACAAAGTCCGAACGGGTATACTGTGTGACGCGGACTTTGAAGGTATTCCAGCGCCCGCCCGCTACGAACTGGCTCCAAGTGTCTTCAACAAAGCCGGTGGGCTGATATCTGACAGTTCGAGGGCTACAATGGCGCGGTTTGAGAATTGACAAGCCTCTCCGCGTGGCTGGCTATCGAGAGAACAAGCAGGGCCGGATAGTTCTATGGTTCAATGTCTTCGACCCTGAAGAGCGAAGTGTTCGCGAAGACTCCAAGAGCTAGACTTAGTTTGTGGCTCGCCGCAGCTCACTGGTGCGCCCCGGCCGACTGGATTCGCCGACTCGGAGAGGCTTGAGTCTTGCTGAGGTACTGTGGTGCTTCGACAGCAGTAATGACGATAAAGAGTTTACGATTTACGAAAAGCCTACATAGCTTCCAGCCGCATCTAGCTTGGCGAGAGTTGGAGGCGGCGGTGGCGTAAGAATCGCCGGATGCGGCCATGTTCGCGTAGATGATACGTTCCACACCAATCATGAAGAGGTGACAGGCACGACGGGCCCCAAGAAGCGTGAACCATTTTTGATTCTTCACTCGGTACGCTAGCTAAAGCTGACTTACGAGCTACGCTATGTGGACTAGTCTTTCTTGCTACTACAGCTTGCCGAGCAAGTAATTGCACTCTTCTTTGTGGTGAGCTCGAGGGGAGACGTCGTCCCCGATGGAATGGTCGATCTAGACTTCGAGACGCGATGTGGTTCCCATCGGTGACCACGCCAGCCACTACGAAAGCTGGCTGGCTGGATATTGAGCGCATTTCTGTGCGAGGAATTTTGAAATCAGTAATCATCAACAGTCAAGGAAGTTGCCCTACTTGTGGCCTCCCCCTGTCCGGATCCAGACCTCTGGAACGCAGGGTTGCTTATCAGACCGGCACTCTTCCGCGCTAACGGCACCCAAAGAATCGAGTTGATCTAGATGTTGGGGTAGTACAGAGACTAGCTCAGTTTACTGCCGGCGAAGCATTCTCCCTTCCCTTCGGAATCCAGATTGCCTGGTTAATTTTGTCCATGTCGCCGAGCCGGTGGGATTGATGATGGGATCTGATAAAATCATGGGAAAAACGATTCCAATTCTTCGAGATGCCCAATTGTCCCGAAATGGTATATCTTGCTTGGCTAGTAGATCTCATAGTAGCGGATTGGGCCTAAGGTCATCGATGAGGGCCACTTGGGACCACCATGAACACAAATTGTCATGTATTTCTTGGACGATTACACTATGCCTACCGGTTCCCATTTAGCCCCCGAGATAATAAAACTGCTCATCATGGAACTTACGACGCAGACTCGAATGATTCGTTCAAATTTCGTTCGTGCCAGCGACTATGACTTGCTCCGGTCCCCTCCCTTCGGATCCCGGCTCAGAACCTTGATCCGCCAGGCAGTCATCATTCGGGAGGAAAAGGATGAGAGCATTCTAAATTTTACCTTTGACGCCTCGCATATCGACACAATGGGTCTCCACTTCTTGAGACGTCTATGTCTTGGTCCGGTATGTCCTCGGCGACGACGCCGACTCCCCGTCGTAGTCGGCCGCCAGATACATCCTCGACCGGGCTGTTACAGCCAATCATGTCTACGCGGAATATTCTAAACCCCGTCTATCTTTTGGAAATCATTTCCCATCCACTTGGATGTCAAAGAATCTTTCTTTCTGTATGCAGCATGAGAGTTCGACTCGTTATCGCAACGCGGAGCTCGCACTCGTGGATGAAGAAAGGGAACGAGCTTAAATCAAACTGTCAAAGGGCATCTGATTTCAAGTCGAATGTTCGCCAGGCGTGAACGAACGGCATCGAGATGTTCCAATGAATCTCCGACTGCAATGCTTTGGACCGACAGCGAATGCTGTTGTGTAAGTAACGGCACCGGACTAAAACTCATTGACCTTCTGATGCCAAGCAGGTATTCAGGCGCCGCCATACCATGTCGATCTAGTCACTTCGGCCTACTTTGCCAATTTTATGTTTACTAAACCTCGGGCCTTGAGTCTGACGCCTGAGGTCGCCCTTGAAGGCTCCGGTTCTGGTCTATTATCGGAATATCTCACAGCATCTCCGGGACGCACTGGTCCATGAGCAGAACATGAGTGGTTCGAGACGAACTTGTGCCGTGGACGGGCAACAAATGTGTTTTCACGACTTTTGTTGATTCAATGGTACCATGGTCATGAGTTTCGGGGTAGAATCTTGACCTGTTTCTCCACCAAGTTGACACGGGGTTCGGGCGCGCCCACGGAATATGTATGTCTCAAACATCAATCTTACCAAGCCAGGCACAAACGAGGAACACGGATCGATCACCGTGATCGACGCAGATCGCAAGACGGGCTGTGCCGTCTGGACTAATGACGGGAGCCCGTGGCCCCGGATGGCCAAGGCGCGGAACGCGTCTCGAAGTGTCTTCCTAGTCAAGGCTTACATTTCTCCCCTCTTCTCAGTATAGTGGAGTGGTCGTCGTTTCTCTTCCCCTTGCAGACTGCGCATCGTGTTTCCCTGACTTTTCTCTCATCTTTTTTTCTCCTCGTCGCTGACATCGTCCCCGCACTGACGGCAGCCGCGCAATCATGGTAGGTACCATGTCAAACCCCTGAAACGGAGGCACACACCTCTTGACGGGCTCGCCGGCATCTTCCTAGATGCAAGTGAATGTGTGGGCAAATAAGATTTTCCTGTCTCTTTTCCTGCCTCATGTTTTCTCCTTTTCCGCCCCCTCCCTGTGGAGATTTTTCTGCCTGACTGTTCGAATATCTGCTCTTGTCAATTCGGTTCCGTCATCCGACTTTGGCCTGTGGTGGCCTGGAGACCTGTCGACAGTGACTCTTTGACCTACCTTAGCTACGTTTGTTTGGCGCTTAGACGGCAGAGTCAGGTTCATCCACCACACTGGCAGATTTGAAGGGGAGGGCTTCCGAGAGGATCTGTTCGCCAGCCAGCCGCGCGCCGCCTGTGACTAAGGCGAGTTTGACGTGGACCGGCGGCGGTTGCGCTCGTATGTTTTGTTTTATTTGGGACACTGCAGATGTCGTTTCTCTGAATCTGTTCATCTGACGTTGACGTGCATCACCTTGGCGAGCCGCTAGGCGATGAAGGGGTAATTAGGTGAGATATCTGACCGCTTGCAGCACAGTTTCCGCACCCGAGAAAAGGTCAGACTGTTTCAGTGGCCATCAGATAGGTGGCTGAGTCAAGTTCATTGTGAAGTTCTGGCTGAGTTTCTGCAAGCTCTTTCAGTTATTTTGTTAACGGGCGCTTGTTATCCGTTTCACCAGCGAAGCAAGCATTCGTAGAGAGTATTCCTTCTCTGCCTCCTTGAAGTCAACCGGTGGTCCGGATGGAATAAGGAGTTTCCCCTGATTGAGCTGTTTGCAGACAGGAGGCAGCACGAGTTTGGGACGACACGCAGTCAAGAGGCTTGGCAGCCGATGGGCGAACAACGTGGATGCTGACTTCATGCCATTCTTCATTTATGGTGACCCTACCTGATCTTGACATAGTATCAGACATCTACTGCGCGCCAAATAGTCTCCTGACCCATCCCATTCTCGTCTCGAGGGCAGCCTTGGCGACGTCTGACCCTACAGCGAGACCCAACAGGTCGAACCCGTGGAATCCACCACTCCAGACATGCAGGTCCGCCTGCACACCGCTATCCCATAGCTTCGTAGCATAAGCCACGTTCTCATCTCTGAACGGCTCCGCAGTTCCAACGTCGATATATGCCGGTGGCAGTCCGGAGAGGTCCGTTGCCCTGCCCGGCGCGACATAGGGACTCACGTCCGCTTCCTCCAACCCTGCCTTCTCTCCCAACACGCAGCCCCATGCAGCGTTGTTGTCCAGCGCGTCAAAGCATTTGTCGTCCCTGAATTGCTTCTTGGATATGCCCGTGTCCCTGTCGTCGAGCATGGGATATACGAGCAGCTGCGCGCAAAGCTTCGGCCCGCTCGTGTCCCTCGCCCTCAATGCCGCTCCAGCCGCGAGACCGCCGCCCGCCGAGACGCCTGCAATCATGAGGCGCGCGGGGTCGATGCCCAGCTCCTGCACGTGCTCGCTCGTCCATAGAAGACCCGCGTAGCAGTCGTCCTGCGGCGCGGGCGCCGGGTGCTCTGGTGCCAGGCGGTATTCTATGCTGACGACGACGGCGTCAAAGTCCTTTGCCATGCGTGCGAACGGCTGGATTCCGAGAAAGGCATCGCCGAGAACCATGCCGCCGCCGTGATAGAATACGATGCCTGGGCGTTGGCCACTTGCCGTCTTTGGGTTCCGGGACTGCAAGATGACGATGGGGATCTCTCCGTCTGGCCCAGCAATTTTACGGTCCTCTACAAGTAGGTCTTCGTCGTTTCGTATCGCTGCTTGCATAGGTGCCATTGCGGTCGCTCGTAGTTGTCGCCCGTGGACTATGCCATCCCTATCTCGCGGGTAAGCCGTCATGCGATCCAGGGCCGGGACCAGTTGGGCGTCGTATGGTGGCCTGGGAAGTAGGTTTTCTGACGACATTTTGACTGATGTGTTTCAAATGTTCTGTCCAAAAATGAAAGTTGTCCGAGACGTGCTTGGCCACTGTGTGCGATTTCGTTGGTCGATATGGGTGCTACTGAACGAATCGTATTTTGAAGTTCTTGTTGATCTTGGAGTCAACGAGATGTGATCTTATCTCTGCCGAAAAGCGTATGGAATGCCG